GACTGCGACCGGTCGGAGAGAAAGGAGGAGAACCACCTTAGTACGGTGCCTCCCACCCCCAACTCTTCCAACCGGTGCAGCATGATACCATGGTCGATGGTATCAAAAGCCGCTGAGAGGTCTAACAGGACCAGGACAGAGGAGCAGCCCCTGTCCCGAGCCCTCCAGAGATCATCAACCAACGCGACCAATGCCGTTTCCGTGCTGTATCCAGGCCTGAAACCCGACTGGAACGGATCCAGATACGACGCTTCATCCAGGTACTGGGGAAGCTGTCCCGCAACCACACTCTCAACAACCTTCGCCACAAAACGAAGGTTGGAGACTGGACGATAATTAGCCAATATTGCCGGGTCCAGGGAAGGCTTCTTGAGGAGGGGCCTCACCACCGCCTCCTTAAGGGCGGCGGGGAAGACACCCTCACCCAATGAAGCATTTATAATCCCCTGGAGCCAGCCTCGCGTCACCTCCCGGGAAGCCAGCACTAACCAGGAGGGACACGGGTCCAACAAACATGTGGTCGCGTTCAATCTACCCAGAATCCTGTCCACGTCATCTGGGGTCACAGGATCAAACTCATCCCAGATAACAGTCTCAAGACCTGCCTCCGTCACTCTCGCTGGATCTACCCAGTCAGAGTCCAGACCTTCCCGAATCTGAGTGATTTTGTCATACAGATACTGAACAAAGTCCTCGGTTCTTCCCTCCAAGGGGTCCTCCCGCGCTTCCTGGTGGAGCAGGGAGCGGGTCACCCTAAACAGGGCGGCCGGGCGATTATCTGATGATGCAATAAGAGCAGCAAAATGCGTACATTTTGCTGCTTTTATCGCCACTAGGTAAGTCCTAATATGGGATCTAACCAGTGTCCGGTCCGATTCAGAAAGACTAGCTCTCCAACTACTCTCTAGGCGTCTTTTCTGGCGCTTCATCTCCCTCAGCTCCTCGGTAAACCAAGGAGCCAGGCGAGATCCGCGCCGGGTCAGAGGCCGCAAAGGCACGACTCGATCCAGGGCCCCAGCGGCCGCCCTATCCCAGGCGGCCACTAGGTCTCCAGTCGAGGCGTGAGTCAGAACCTCAGGAATTGGCCCAAGCTCCGTCTGGAACCTGTCGGGTTCCATCAGGCGCCTGGGGCGGTACCATCTTATTGGTTCCGCCTCCCTGCAGCGGGGTGCCGCGGTACGAAGGTCAAGGCGAAGGAGAGAGTGATCCGACCATGACAAGGGCTCGATGACTACATCCCCTATCTCAAGATCACTCAACCACTGTCCAGAGACAAAAAGCAAGTCCAGTGTGTTTCCCCCAGTGTGCGTAGGGCCATGAATTAGTTGGGTCAGATCCATGGCCGTCATGGAAGCCATGAACTCCCGAGCCACCTCAGACGTCTCGCCCACGGACGGCAGGTTGAAATCCCCCATGACCATAAGTCTGGGGGTATCAACCGCCACCGCAGCAATAACGTTGAGTAGCTCAGGCAGGGTTGCTGCCACGCGGCAGGGAGCCAGGTACGTGATCAGCAAGCCCATCTGAACCCCATGGCCCCACTTCACAAGGAGGGACTCACAACCAGCTGTCTGAGATACAGTGGTCTCCCTGGGCCTAAGGCCTTCTCTAATAATAACCGCTACTCCCCCGCCCCTCCCTTGTGACCTCGGCTGATGGAATGCGTGGAAGCCTGGTGGGCACATTTCTACCAGAGGGACCCCTCCCTCCGGGCCCAACCAGGTCTCCGTAATACCCGCCAGGTCCGCTCCCCCCTCCTGAACAAGATCACAGATGAGGGGGGCTTTATTTACAACGGACCTGGCATTGCACAACATCAGACGAAGGCCCGGGCCGTGAGGATCCGTGCAACCTGGCAAACGGATGGAGCCTTGGGGGCCGGAGCACACTACCGCTTGGAGACAGCGGGTGCGTGCTCCCTTAACATGATATGGCCCCCTGCTCCTGCCATATCTACCCCTCCCCCTCACAGTACTGATGGTAAAAACACAGTCCGAACAAGCTCGACCCCCTCCATTGCCCCCGGGTCCCCCACCCGCCCCGCCGCGCGTCGTGGCCGGGCCCGACCCTCCCCTTGGTGGGTTATCCCCCAAACCCACGCCCCTAATTCCAATACCACCCCCCTCCCCAAACCCCTTAAAAGATTAGATATAGACAATTTTAAAAAACCCCGCAACCCCCTCTTTGCGACATGCCACCTCTCGGGGTTCCAAAGCCCGTCATCGAGGTAGGCCCTCGATAGAGTGGAGGGCCAAGCCTGCGAGAGGGGGGAGTCTCGCAGACCAAGAAGCTCCACTGCTGAGTACAGTTTGGTCATAGTGGCTCGCCATGACCATATCCTAAGGGTCCTTAAAAGGACAGGGAAGAAGGTAGGGAAGTGGGGAATCTCACACATAATTCACAGGACCAAGTCCACTGTCCCCTCACAACAGAGGACACAGTCACAATCCACAACGACCACAATCCAAGGGGGAAAATCGATCCAACCACCTTCTCACGGTGATTAGGTCAGCTGGTCCGCCCCCATTTGTGGTGAAGTGGCAGCAATAGAGTCAGTACATCCAGTGTCCAGGGATCAGGTCCAAAAAACCGCCCTCTCACGGCGGTTGGTCCGATGGTCGGGTCCCCACCGCTGGTAAAGTGCTTATGTGTGAACACATCCCGATTCAGCCCTCAGGAGGCCCCAACACCAGGCCACCCTCTCACGGTGGCCAACTGGTGTCCAGCCCCCTTAGCCGAAGGGATGCAGCCATGAACCGACCTCCAATTTTCCATAGCCCTCTCCACAGTCAGGGGGTTCAGCTGGTAGTGAGAACATAGCGGAAGTGAATCCCACAGGCTAAAGTTGGTCCCAGTGGGCCCGGTCTTAAAAGGGAGCGCTGGGGAGAGACAAATGAGGCGGAAGTGGGGCAGTTGTTTCAAGTCCCCAACCCCCGCACAACCACAGTTTGAGGCCACCTAAGGCCTGGGGGAAAAAAGTCAGACCAGGTCCTTTTCGCCCCAGCCATGGTTGCAGGTCTCCCGGTCTTATTTAATTCTCGTTGGTTCGTTGCCCCCCCAACTCCTAAACTCCAACTCCAGCTCCAAGGGGGGGGTCGCCAACGCCCTCCAACCGCCGGCTGCCTCCACCGCCATCGCCATCGCCGCTGCGCCATCGTCGCCAGACTAAAAAGCCTGGCGGCATCCCAGAGATCTTCGGGGGTGCCCGGCACGACTTGTAACTCTTCGGGCAACCCCCCCGGGCTTAAGAACCCACTGTGCAATGCCGCCCCGGCGCCTGGACGGCCTCCGGCCTCGGGAAACGCCGCCGACGCCCAGCTGATCGGCCCGGCGCTCCCGACATCGCGCCGTCCTCTCTGCTCTGCTCAGCCACGGAGGAGAAAAAAACCCTCTCCGTGCTGGCAGAGAGCTCCCTGGACCAGTCCTGGGGGTCATAGCTCCTCCAAACGACCCCAAAGGACCCAAAAGGTAGGTCGGCGCCCCATCCTCAAATCGCGGTCCCAGCGAGCGCCGCCATCTTGGGCATGCGCAGAATGCATATATGCAGAATGCATATATAAGTTGACCATAAAAATAGCAGTTTCTTTTGTCTACTCATGAGGAACAGTGGTCTGAAGTCACGTAAACAATCTCGGGCGATCTCTCCTTTGGTCAGGGGAGATTACTGACTTGGAGCATCCATTAGCGATTCCCCTCACAAAAGCTATCTTGCTAGTCAGCAAAAGCCAGCAAGGCTTCAGCTTGCCATGATACTTTCAGGAAATTGAGGCCTTACAGATTCTGATAGCATTTTTCCCTCTGAGAGTTAGGCTGGCTGCTGCCTTTTTTTTTTTACTGGTAATCCTGTCACTTTCCGTCTTTTTCTATCTTCCATCAAGGTCATCTCATTGCATAGACAGCTCCCAAAGCATCTTGTCTTTCTTTTCAGCACACTTCTCCAGACCATGCCCTGCTTCACTTTAGGTTCCTCTCCAGCTAATAAGCAAGTTCAGTTGTTTTTTTCCTCCAACTCTTTGGCTTCTTTAACACCTTCCACTCATGAGCCAATATTATATAATCTAAATTTGGGTCATTTAGAATATTTGTGCATTTGGTTCTTTATACATTTGGCTTGCACAGAAGGCTCCTGTCCAGTGGTGGGATTCAAAAATTTTTACTACTGGTTCTGTGGGTGTGGCTTGGTGGGCATGGCGTGGCTTGGTGGACGTGGCAGGGGAAGGTTACTGCAAAATCCCCATTTCCTCCTGATCAGCTGGGATTCGGGAGGCAGAGAATAGATGGGGGCGGGGCCAGTCAGAGGTGGTATTTACTAACAGAGAATGAGTACTATCTATATACTGTTTGTAAAACTCTGTTTACTTGTAATTAATTTTTAAAGATAAGTAAAGAGAAATAAGAAATTTCTCAACAAAGAATATTCTTTTAGGATGAGATGACATCATAGCCCTGGCCATTTAATCTTGAATTGATGATACATGTTCATAAACTGCTTATGGACTGCTTTCCAAAATGTGTAAGGAAAATACTGATACTTTTAATGATATTTTTAAAAAAGGAATCAGTTTAATGAGGAATTTGGTGATGTACAAAGATTTTGGAAGGTTAGTAACATGAGGAAAGGCTGAGATAATTATGCATGTTTTGCTCTGTGGTGGGAAGGAAAATAAGCGGATACTTTTAAACTTAACTCCAATAATGCCAGAAAAACGTGAACTGACAATATCTAACAGAAGATCACAAGCATCATTAACCAGGTAACCAGGTACAGCTCCCAAATTAGGGTGAAGGTCATAATATAAAATGTGTTATTACAAAACAACACAACAACTAGAAGCTCAAAATATAGGGTGAAGCCTAATTTGAAAACCACATCAGTTTCCCTGAGAATGCTCACACACCCTTACATGTGCAGTTTTTCTTGGATTTGTAGGGCTCTGTAATAAAAGTTGGTTGCTTATTCCTCGTTGATTCCTGATTTTATCCAGTGGTATACATTGCAGGTAATTCCCCATCAGATGAATCTGAAGAGCGTGAGCGAGATCCCAGGGTCCTCACTTTTCCAGAGTATATTGCCAGTTTGTCAGAATCTGGGACCAAACGTATGGCAGCTGGGGTGCGCATGGAGTGCCAAAGCAGAGGCCGCTGCCCCTCCTCCTGTCCTTTATGTCATGTGACCTCTAGCCCAGATGCTGTGGCTGAACCCATCCTCCTAGAAGTCACAAAAGCAGCACCCATCTACGAGTTGGTCATCAATAATCAGACTCAGAAGGTGAGTGATATCATAGTGATGGAAGGAAGCATTTTAGCCCCAGATACAAAGAAATAAATATGCCATGACATTTTCTGTGAATCTCAAATTTTGAAATTAATTAGATGGTTTGCAGGGGAAAAAAGAAGAGTTAGAAGAAAAAGCCATGCAGGAAGGCATACAATGACATTTCTGGCTTTCTTTTTAAAGCATAATGACTCAAAACAGCATCAAATGTGAGACATTTAAGATTCAGCATTGGGATACTTATGAATGCTCCTCAGTCTCCTTGTATTCCCGTATATTGATCCTGTTTGCAGAATTGCAGTAATTCCTTAACATTGTTCCTTTTTTTTTGTTCTGAGATTTGTTTGGCCAACTGAAAATGTGCAGGTTTTCTAATCATAGTACAGACAAAATGGAAATAGGAATGTCTGCTTGCACAGATTCTCTGCCTGGGTAGAAAATAATACAGTTGGTAATATCTGTATGCATACAAATGTACATAATGCTTTGAGATAGGCATAGAATCTTCAGAACTGTATGTAGCAGCTCACAGGACTATCCAAAGTCCTTGATGTAATGAAGTCTGCTTTCAAGTCCCAAAAAGTTGGAAAGATATCCCTCCCCCCCTCTCAAAGAAGAAGCCAAGAAATGCAACCATGTCCATAATACCAAACTTCTCTGCCATGTCTGCTGAGTGCCAGATCTTCCTTTCTTGTCCTTCTCATGTACTTTTTCTGCTGCTATTCTATACTAAAGAACATATGTACAGCACTATGGCTAAATCTCTCGGATACATTGACATTCACCACAGCAGGACCATACTGGTCTGCTGCATAAAAATCTGTGTGGTGAATAAAGAAGAAAGATATTTCTTGCACATCTCTTAGATCAACTTATTGTGTATTATGGAGATGAACTTATTGTGTATTATGGAGACTACAAGCAAATATACTAGTCTCCCATATAATAACTGTATGTGTGTTTGCTCAGATATGGAGTCAGGTCCTCTTCTCTTTATTGTTTCATGTCCCTCCCCTCTCCCCATGTTTTAAATTATGTATTTGTGTTTTCTTGGTCTGGGTTCATAAATACGAAGAAATGAAATGAAAAATGAAAACTAATTATGTAGCCTTTGGTAAACCACCACACACTATCAATAATATGGAAACAATATTGGGATGACTTAAAAATCGTTGTGATATATGGTGGCAATATTGAAAGTAAGGAAAAGGATTATAAACACATTAAGTGGAAAGAATTGCAGCAGAGAGCAGGTGTGTTGGAAAAGCGATGACTCAAGTAAGAGCAAGTGCAATATGCCCAGTGAGACTGATCTGCTATGTAGCAATTTATTCTTATACACGTGAGTCAGATGCTGTAAACATTTAAAGTGCAAACAGGGGAATTAAAGTGGATGGCAAATTTCACAATGACTTGGTCCTCCTTTATTTTTCTATTTATTCACCTTGAATTGCCAGCCTCCATGCAATAGCTGGCAATGTTTTCTTCTTGTTTAACTGTTCCAGAAGTGAAATCAGAAAGCAATGCCCTCATCCTTCTTTGAGATTTGTGGCTGTATATTAAGTGTGATTTGTTCAATCAATAAACCAGGGGAGGATGTTTGAACTCAGGTAAAGGGCATGGGGCTATGCCTGCAGGCCTTGCCCCTCCAGTTCCTGACAATGTTGTGTTAAACAGCTCAATCCAATATACCACACACCGTATGAGCAAAAATGAAGGAAACCTTTGTGCAAAGGCAAAAGCCTTTGTCAAGTTTAACTGATCAGAATTAGAATTCTTCTTTAGACTGCATTGTTTGTTATTTTTTTAGCTTTTTTGATCAGTCTATGCCTCAGATTGCAAAATCATTCTGATATTATTGAAGTAAATAGGAAAAATAGTCCAAAGGAGCCTCTAGGAACACTATCATTACTGCCCAAACCAAAAATCTTTCTTGTAAGACGTATCCCCACCATCATAGTGAGAAATAAATAGAAAGAGGGGGGGGTGATTCCTTGTTGACTGTCTTATTCTATGAACAGGAAGAGTAAGTTTCAGGACTGATCTTGGTGAGGATTTTTTCACATATTCCTTATTTCCTTCTGTGCTTTTCTTTCTCTCCTTCTAGCTGCTGCAAGAGGCCACCATGAGTTCCCTGTGGTGCTCAAGCAGTGGAGATGTCATTGAGGACTGGTGTCGATGTGACTCAAGTGCATTTGGTGCAGATGGACTTCCAGCCTGTGCACCACTCCCACATCCTGTGTAGGTGTACAACTTCAAACTTTCAGCCTTAAGATCATGCTAAATGTTCTCTAGGGAAATGTCATATTCAGCATTCTTCTTTGTAACAAATAGTGTAGCTCAGGGGTGGGTTCTAAATTTTTTACTACCGGTTCTGTGGGTGTGGCTTATTTTGTGGGCGTGGCTTGATGGTCATATGACAATTATTTAGGATTTAGCAGAGGTACTGGTCTACCAGGCTTTTAACTGCTTGCAGAGCTGTACCGATCTACCCATTTATTTTTGCAGGCACTGATCTACTCATGTATTTTTTCAGGCACTGATCTACTCATGTATTTTTGCAGGCACTGGTCTACCCATTTATTTCTGCAGGCACTGATCTACTCATGTATTTTTGCAGGCACTGGTCCACTCATTTGTTTTCTTTTAACACCGATCAGATGTAGGGCGGCCCTTTGAAGCCCTGCGGCAAGAGTTTAAACAGTTTTTTCCCCTCTAGCCATCATCTGGGACTCAGGAGGCAGAAATAGATAGGGGTGGGGCCAAATAAAAGGTAAGAAGGTGGGGGGGCATGGGGGGGCAGAACTGGTTTGGTGACATCATATAGTCACCGCTACCGGCTTGGGAGAACTGGGCCGAACTGGGAGGAACCCACCTGGTGTAGCTGCTGCTAATCAATGTTTCAGAGCCACTTGGAACACCTGTATTTCCAGGAAGCAGACTTGATCAGTGGCTTTCTTGTTCCCTGGATGGCAGGTCAGGGTTTGAGATGGTTATCAATCAGAGAAACTTTGGGAAGTGTGAAGTCTTCAAATCCTCTTACTTTGAACTATATTTTATTTCCAGAAACATTTTAGAGCTACAATTGGAGATTTTTCTTATCCACAGAAGTATTATATTTTAAAAATCTTATTAAATCTTAATGCTCCACAATGCCCAAAAGAAATGTAAGAAAAATTGCCATTAAATATGTTCAATTCCTCATATTCTGCAAAGGGCGGTGGCTTTATAAAGCTGTGTAGGAAGTAAAACCCATGCTTTCTGTGAAATACCGGCATTATTAATTTTTCTATAGGCTATTGTTAGAAATGAATACAACCAACCAGCATGGGTTGATGAAAACAAAGAGACTTTATTAAAAGAAAATAGGAAAAAATAAGAAAATTCTGGAATGCGCAGAATTAGATAAACTAAAGAAATTAAGGGAAAAGAAAAATCAAAGTATTATAAGATATGGAGTAGATGGTATGAATGGTTGAAAAATAAGGAAATAAGTTAAATGAATGAAGAAAGGAGGGGGAAAATGTGGACTATCAACTTATAGGATAGAGGGAATGAAAGAAAGTAGAAAATGAAGGTTAAATAAGTTAATACTAAAATATCTGTAAATATTGATATATAGAAAGAAAGGATCACTGCTTACAGCTGAAAAGAAAAGTGATATTTTTTCTTTTTTTGTTTTTGTTTTTTATTTTTCTTCTCTAAATGTTGTATGTCTATGTTTTGTTTTTAATGTGTTTAAAATAAAAAACTTTTAAAAAAAGAAAAAGAAAATAATAAAAACAATTTTCAAAATAGGGTGGTATCCCAGCAGATCTCAACAAGGAGTTTGAGCCAGGAAGCCACACCTAAAGTTTCAAAAGCATTACATTTTATAGTTCCCTATCCCAATGCTCCCCCCCACGCCCCTCCTACATCGCATCTAGTGACCGATCATGGCTAATCCGAAGCGCCTTTTAGAGAGAACATCATCTCTTTCTCTAATTACATGTTCATCAACACCTCCCTATAACTATCCCTAAAATATTTTGCAAGCATGGCTTTTTCTTATCTCTATTGCCTTGGCATTAAAGAGTGGGCCTCTTTCTAACGGGCCTCAAACAAAAGAAGATCTATTCTAACACAACATTGTTACATATTGGTATGCTTTCAGCATGTTCGCCAACTATCTTAAAGCAGAATAATGTCTAACATATTTAACAGAGTACCAGAGCTGGAAGGACCCTGCAGGTCATTCAGTCCAACCCCCTGCCTGAACAAAATTGAATCTTCACTTATATGCATTTCTAACTTATATACCTATATACTATTTTATTTTTGAATTTTCTCATATCTTACACTATGATAGTAGGATGTATATATTACCGTACATACGTCTATTAGTAAAGCAGACCATTCTATTTTTCTTCTATAAATACCATTCAGGTGCATGTAAGGACATGGAAAAAACTTTATTCAAATCCTAGTCCATCTATCTCAATTTTGTGACTTACAGCAATTATTAAGGCTTCCACTATGAAGTCTGTATCAGGAGTGGCCACAACTTCAACCTGGAACTTTCTGACTGGAAAGCAGGAACTCTGCCATTGACTTTGCTCATAAAACGCTGCTGAAGATTCTCTAAAAGAATCACAGTCTGTAAGGACTGTGTGTTTTGCAGAGGAAATGCCAGAATATGACATACCCTGACTTTCATAGGGTTGAATAAGTACCTTGGCATTTTTCGACCTTGCACAGCAAAAAATATTATTGAAATAGAGATTATAGCCCAGACAGATTCTACATTGAAAAAAACTTGATACTGTAGAGGAGCAGATCTTACATTTTCTGGTGTAGGAACTCTGCCAAGTTAGTTAGAGGAACTTAGGTCTTTTTTTTCAATGGATAAATCTGGGGCCAAGATAATGTCTTTCTACTTGAAGATAAAATTTTCTAGGTTTGACATTCAAGAATGCTGTTCAAGTCCTTCCTCTGTCTTTTATATCTATCATAAACACAGGAAAGAAAAACCATTGGATGCTTAATGCAGATGACATTAAAGGTTCTGCTAGTCAGCAGAATTCAAATCAAGAATTGATTTGATTTGATTTGTTGATTTTGAAATGACTAATTGTTTGGATCACCAGTTTAAGAGTGAAAAGCAGGATATGAATTAATAAATGAATACCTTCTTTTCTTCAGCTACTTAATACCTTCACTTGCTGCCCAGTCTTAGACATTGCACTTTAAAGGCTTAACACCCCACCCCACCCCACCCGTCATCCTTGCTCTGGTGCTGAGAAGATCTTCTTATTGCTTATGGAGGATGTGATGGAGCCTTTATATCAGTGCCATCTTGCTGCTTAAACAGAATGAAGCCAGATCCAAAGGAATTCATGGGAGATTAATTTCTGTAAGAAAATGGAATAATTCTGATTATATGAAGAAGGAGACTGAGCAGAATTCATGATTTACAGTGCTTCAGTTGTCCTCTGTTGCCATTTCTGTTTTAGCTGCTTCAGAAGGCAGATACTCATTCTGTAGCCCAAATGTTCTCTCCTATCTTCTGGCTCCGCTAGGAATAGAGGGAGGGAGGGAGGGAGGGGGAGAGAGGAGGAGGAGGAGGAAGAAGAAAAGAAGGAGAAGGAGAAGAAAGCACCACCATTGCATAACAAAATAAAATGTATATTTAAGGGGTTCTCATGCATGTACAGAAGTATGTATTGTAGATGAACTTTTTTTAATATAAGTTTCAGCAAAAGTTCACCATATTTCATTGTAATTAACCATAATCTAAATCTATTAACAACATGCTCATAGAATGCAAGTAATATGAGATTTACAATTCAATAAATAATTGGGGCCATAAATTTATCTTTCCAATGTTGAAGAACTTATCTTTTGGCAATAATATGGGCTAGGAGAGCCTATTTCCATTTTCCAGCTATCGGTTTCCATGTATTAATTTATTAGCTGTATAGTTTTAAAATATGTGTGCATTGAGAAATATTAAACTTTGTTTTATAATCAATATATTATATCATTTCTTCCCAAAATATAGTAACTTTAGGATATTGCAAATTTATGTATTAAAATCAAGTATTAGTCTGGTTGCATCTCCAATAGTAAGTGATTTACTACATAGCAATGGAGGCTTTCACAGCCAGCATAAATCAAGTAGTGATGAGTTTCTGGACTAATAGGCCATGGTGTAATTATGTGGTATCTTGATGTTTCATCAGCAACAGGATAACAAATAATTACACTATGGCCTATTATCCCTGAAGCTCATCATATCAATGGATAAAATGATTTACTTGTTGCCTTTCTATACAAATGCAGAGGAATCTGATAAATCTGAAAGATAGTTTGTTGTATAAACCATTTAGTGCTCCTTCATGAATTACTGCCTTGTCCTGGTGAAGGGGCTTGTGTAGCTCAATGAAGCTATGAGCTATGCTGTGCAGGGCCACCTAAGACAGATAGGTCATAGCAGAGAGCTCTGACAAAACGTGATCCACTGGAGAAGGAAATGGCAACCCACTCCAGTATCTTTGCCATGAAAACCCCATGGACAGTACCAAAAGGAAAAAAGATATGATGCTGGAAGCTGAGCCCCTCAGGTCGGAAGGTGTCCAATATGCTACTGGGGAAGAGCAGAGGGCTAGTACTAGTAGCGCCAGAAAGAGTGAAGCGACTGGGCCAAAGCCAAAAAGACACTCAGCTGTGGATGCATCTGGTGGTGCTCACAAAGTGCTACGCTCAATTTGTCAGCAAATTTGGAAAACTCAACAGTGGCCACGGGATTGGAAAAGGTCAGTTTACATTCTAATTCCAAAGAAAGGCAATGCCAAAGAATGTTCAAACTATCGCACCATTGCACTCATTTCACATCTAGTAAGGTTATGCTTAAAATCCTACAAACTAGGCTCCAGCAGTATGTGGATTGAGAACTACCAGAAGTACAGGCAGGTTTTCGAAGAGGCAGAGGAACTAGAGATCAAATTGCCAACATATGTTGGATCATGGAGAAAGCTAGGGAGTTCCAGAAAAACATCTACTTCTGCTTCATTGACTATGCTAAAGCCTTTGATTGTGTGGATCGCAACAAATTGTGGCAAGTTCTTAAAGAGATAAGAGACCATCTTATTTGTCTCTTGAGAAACCTGTATGCGGGTCAAGAAGCAACAGTGAGAACTGGACACGGAACCACTGATTGGTTCAAAATCGGGAAAGGAGTTCGGCAAGACTGTATACTGTCGCCCCACCTATTTAACTTATATGCAAAGTACATCATGAGAAAGGCGGGGCTAGATGAATCAAAAGTTGGAATTAAGATTGCCAGGAGAAATATCAACAATCGCAGATATGCAGATGATATCACTTTAATGGCAGAAAGTGAAAAGGAACTAAAGAACCTCTTGATGCAGGTGAAGAAGGAGAGTGCAAAAGTTGGCTTGAAACTCAACATTAAGAAAACTAAGATAATGGCATCCGGCCCTCTCAATTCCTGGCAAATAGATGGGGAAGAAATAGAGGTAGTGACAGATTTTATTTTCCTGGGTTCCAAGATCATCGCAGATGGGGACTGCAGCCAAGAAATTAAAAGATGCTTGTTCCTGGGGAGGAAAGCCATGGCAAATCGAGACAGCATACTAAAAAGCAGAGACATCCCCCTGCCAACAAAAGTATGCATAGTTAAGGCTATGGTTTTCTCAGTTGCAATGTATGCCTATGAAAGTTGGACCATAAGAAAGGCTGAGCGTCAAAGAATTGAGGCCTTTGAACTATGGTGCTGGAGAAGACTCCTGTGAGTCCCTTGGACTGCAAGGCAATCAAATCGGTCAGTCCTAGAGGAGATCAACCCTGACTGCTCTTTAGAAAGCCAGATCCTGAGGATGAAACTCAAATACTTTGGCCACCTAATGAGAAAGAAGGACTCACTGGAGAAGAGCCTAACGCTGGGAAAGATTGAGGGCAAAAGAAGAATGGAAAAGTGGAGAATAAGGTGGCTGGATGGAGTCACTGAAGCAGTAGGCGTGAGCTTAAATGGATGCCAGAGGATGGTAGAGGACAGGAAAGCCTGGCGAAACATTGTCCATGGGGTCGTGATGGGTCGGACATGACTTTGCAACTAACAACAACAACAAGTTTTGGTGAGGTTTTCATCATTGTGGTTAAAACATTTTCCAACTGTTGAAGCAAAATGGGGGCTTCTGGTTTATTGATTACAGGCATTCCTGATTGCCTGGGATTTTTGGTTTTGGGATTTAATGAGCCTATCTAATAGAATAGATATCTCTGAGACTGAAAATGCCACTGAAAGATGTCAATTAATGTTTAAATCAAATGTAAATACTTCCAGGTGGTGGCAACTGACCAATAAATACCAAATACATATTTGTTTTTAATTATTGTTTGTGGGAATCAGTTTTGATGCCTAGCAACTACCTGGATTAGACCCTGTAGTTTTCTTGGCAAAGTTTTTCAGAATTGCTTTGCCCTTGCCTCCTTCCTAGGGCTGAGAGAGAAGGACAGGTCACCCAACTGGCTTTGTTCCCAAGGCAGGATTAAAACTCACAGGCTCCCAGCTTCTGGCCAGATGCCTATGACACCTAATTAGCTATTTTTAAAAAACACAGAAAGCAATAAAAACTTATCATCCACTAGTTGATCAAATATAAAGATCCAGATCTTCCGTAAAACTGGAATTTTGAGATCTGAATTACTCCATAATTTAAAAGACTAGCAGAGTTGGTAGGAACCCTAGAGGTCTTCTAATCCAACGCCCTGCTCAACCAGGAGCACTACATTTAAAGGGAGAAGGAAAAGTAGGAGTTTTTCTTGTCCCTTGAAGCCAGTGCTTCCACTGAAGGGCTGAATTAAAAAGAGGGAGGAAGGAGGTTCATCACACAGAATTTCCTTTCTACATCCAAACATGATGTTGGAAGTTTCTCCCATTCTCTTATTAAACACTTTCTCACTGCTCCTTATGTAGTTTCAACGAACCTCCATTCTTCTGTATTTTCCCACAATAATCTTGGGAAATGGACTGGCCCAAAATCACCCCATAATCAGCGCTGGAAGAGAGCCTAATTTGGAACGCTGACACTTCTATAATAAAGAGTAGATTTGAACCTGAGTCTCTCCAGTCCTAAACCACACTTTAACTGCACTATCATACTGAAATTGTTATAGGGAAAACACATCAATTTGTCGGAGCAAAAGCAGTGTATATAACCTGGGGTGTTTTGTGGGTGAATCATTTCATTGTGGCTCTATTACAATAGGGTTCAACCTGGTGTCCGCAGTGATTAATCTACCACTTTCATAACTTGAGCTACTTACTTAAGGATTTAATGAAAAAAAAAATGAATGCATTTGTGTGGCATAATCCAGCATTCCAAACAAGATGAACAAAAAATTGCTCCTTAAAAACGGAGAACAAAATGGATTGAAAGCCAGGAAATATCATTTTAATCTGAATAAAAGAATGAGTTAGGTAACTGTTTAAATGGGTCACTGTGCCCTTTTCAGCTGTAGGGCAGCCAGGAAGGGAGAAATTAAACTGGAAAAGATAAATCTTGACTCACATTAATTTGTAACAGCTATTTTACTCAAATGCCAGCCTATTTTGGAAGAATTCAGGAGAATGTGCTAAATTTCTTCCCCAAAGACAAGGTCTATGTTGAAAAACTGATTTTCTGGTGGTTCAAGCTGAAGTTGAATATTATCTACACAGTACTGATAAATTACTGCTATTATAAAAAAGCATAAAATTCAACAATGGAAAAGATCTTTTGGTTTCAGATGACATTATAAGATGTTTCAAATTTCCATTTGTGCATCAAAGCTCCATGAAATTGATTGTGGGTTAATCTATCTACAATCAGTTGAAGTCAGCTAAAATTAATCAATTTACCCAAGGAACTGTCTCAACACACTGAAACAAGCTATTACACATGACTCTTACCAGAAATGTTCCAAATGCATTTTAATATTCTGCCATTGCTTGCGATGCTTAGCCGCCCTGAGTCTTCAGAGAGGGGCGGCATATAAATTAAATTAATTGAATTAATTAAATTAAATTAAATTAAATAATGTCAGTTTGCACCATGTAATATGCTTTTCTCAGCCTTTACCCATGTTCAGTTTAAAAACCACTTTGCATTCCTTTCTAGATTAACTATTAGCAGGGTGGTTTTATTCTGGTTAAATAGAGTCCCTTCCTCCTGTATACACATGACTTCTCCCAAAATAAATCTAATTTTCTCACGTAAAGCTCTTCCCCTGACCTCTGCTTTGCACTCTTCTCCCTGCAGGCTAAGGTTATCCACAGTTCATGAGCCTAGCAGTTCTCTGGTGGTGCTGGAATGGGAGCACTCGGAGCCACCAATTGGAGTGCAGATTGTTGATTACCTCATCCGCCAGGAGAAGATCACTGACCGCTTGGACCATTCAAAGGTGGAAACTGGTGAGTACAGCTGATCCTTCGAAGAGAAATTGTTTACCAAATTGTATCTAGAACACTTCCAATTAAAACATTTAATTAAAATCAAATTCTGTCCCCTTAGCGTTAGATTGGCCTTAAGATATAATATGAAGAAAATAAACTACTGGCGTACTCAAGCTCTGAGGGCTTTTTTGTTTTCTTTCCGTTTCCCTTTCTTTCTTCAAACATCCATCACATTTTAAACCTTACTGCTTAGTGGAGAGCTAAATGCAAATTATGGAAAATGCAGACTCTTTTCTCATATCTCTGTATATAATTTCAGTAGCAAAATATAACATTACAATAAAGTTGTAATTATTCAGGATTAGCCCAGCAGACTAATCCAAATGAATGCACCCCTTTACTTACTGATACCGAGGAAATAATGAAGAAATGTTCAGTATATCCCAAATTTCCCAGTTTGGATTCTATTTTGCAGATAATACTGGTTGGATCTGTTCTGACCTCTGAGTTAGTATCCTCATGGTTGTGACGTCCCATTTTTGGGAATTAATTGCCCTATGAACTGTGAGAATGGAACTGGGCTGAAGTTGTCATGATCTAAACTTAGAGGAGGCATGTTTACAGAGAAGAGAAAAGCCAAGAAACTTGTTAAGCAATTTTTTTTGCAAGATAATAAGAAAGAATGTAGGATCATAGGAGAAATATCATCCTGATTATCATTAAATGGGGCAGAAAAAAATGAAATAGTTTAATTAATTAATAAGTACTGTGTAATAAGTATCAAGCACTATTTGCCTATCAACTCATGGTCACACTTCCTTTTTCTCAAAATCTGAGGAATCTGGTAGCATTTTTGTGACTAATACATTTCATTGAAAGGCATAAGCTTTTATTACCTGTAGCTCATTTCTATGTATATTGCAAAGGCTTAGGTCTTTTAATATAAATTGTTAGTCAAAAAAAGGGCTGTCTGACACATTTTGATTTTGGGCTACTGTAGATTAAAACTGGCTTTATTTTTCCCACTTCCTTTGTTCCCTGCTCATTTTCCTACCAGTTTTATCACATAATGGCTGGCTTGCCTATTTCCCTAGAGACGGTGCTGAGTTTTGTGGATGACATAATCTCTGGAGCGAAATCGCCTTGTGCGATGCCAGCCCAGGTGCCTGACAAGTTATCTACAACCATTTCCTTGATAATTCGTTGTCTGGAATCTGACACTATGTACATGTAAGTTACAATGACAATAATAGATTATTTTTTTTGCCCTCTTTGAGCTGATAAAATAATAGCCTCCACATACCTTATAAACTTTGTGGGGATAGTGGTGGGGGACAGTCTTCATCAGATTTATTTTGAGCAGGAGCAATACATTTGATGAACACTTCATCAGATTTATTTTGAATCTTTGCTTATTTTGTTGGCAAGATGTTTTAAAGTCTTAAGATTGAGCAATGGAACTTTTATAGATTTTCTATCTTATAACTTCCAGGAAAGAAAGAGCAAACTGGAGATGGCTCTGCTTTTAGCAATGACTGCAGTGAAATAAAGAACTAGCCCATCTCTTTGTAATTCCTCTCTAAACAAGAGAGATTTGAGATTGCCCACAAATGCTCCAGACAGTTGTTCCTCATGGGGAGACTGCAAGATCATGGTCTCTCATGGGTTTAAAGTTCTGGGAGTTGAAGGAGGGTCATCTTTGCTCAGACTGTTGGCAGCACCTTTAAGGACAATGAGTTCGCCTGCTTCCTTTTCTAATCACTTTTGGAAATTCCTTGCTAACTGCTTTTCAGTTATGAGGAATCTTTGGATCAACAAGGTTTGGACAGCCCCAGTTTCCTTCAATCCATAATGAAAGGAATTTTAAATATAAGTGGAATAAACAGCAAGAGGTACTATAACATTGATTCTGGAAAGTTACTAATGGATAATTTTCCAGATGAATTTGAAATAAGATTTTGAAATTAAAGATACCATTAAAGGAGAAGAACACTTAAATTTGACTAAAACAGAAGGAAGCAAAATACCTTGACACTGCATATATTGAGGAATATTTGTGGAAATACCATACAATAAAATAAATGCATTAATTCTAAGTGAATCTAGGGGTCAGCTTCCTAGGTAAACCAGACTAGAAAGATGAGTAGATGAGCTAAATCTACTTTATTGTAAGGCTAACAGCACATCTGAAAGTTCCTGCTGCCACTTTTAACTGCTTGGTCCATTAGGTTAGGTCCGTTGTATGTTTTTTTTTTCCTCTGATCGTTAAGCCACTGGGGACTCTTGCCTCTCTTTTCTGATCGTTTCCTAGGCAGCTTCTTTCCCCCCACTCCTTCCCCAAGGTCATTCCCAAATTCCCAAGGTCATTATACTAGGTGATAATCCAGTTGGTTCTTTATAAGATACATCTGGTTATGTTATCCATTCTATTTCCAGGTTCACACTTTGGGGTGTGGATAACACCGGGAGACGCTCAAGGTCAAGTGATGTGACAGTGAAGACTCCTTGTCCAGTCGTGGATGATATCAAGGCCCAAGGTAACTTTATGAGTTTGTAAGTAAGGCACAACTTTCCATCAATAGGAAACACAAAAGCAAAAACAAAAAGCTTTCACTTAGAAGAATAATGGCTTATTTTAAACAAAATTGTTCTTCGGGTGACAAGCTTATTCTTCCACCCACGAATATTAGAGGTATATTGAATCTTATGTAATTATTTTTTTAAAAAATCTGTGAAAATGTTTGCTTTTTTGTATCCAGTGACATATAGTAAATTTGATCATTTCCCAAGGCAATAGAGCCAAATGCTTTTACATACATAACAAAATTATGAACACACTGAATTCTTTGAATAGGAAGAAATTTCATTCCTTTGGGAATTTTGGCTTTAATATTTCCTTATTATTTATGCAGGAATACCCATTTATTTTCAGCTCTAAAAGAAGACTAGAAGAAATGAATATGTTTATATTAATTGATATCAAGTGTTTTTAATATTGTGAATTAATGAAGTAGAAATTGTAAGCATATTCTATGAGCAGCTGAATCAGCTGGTGTGGAATTTGCAAAAAGAAGGAAAGGAGAGGAAGGAAGACAAAGGGGAGGGGCAGGGCAGAGCAGGGCAAGGCGTATCCAAGCTCTGCAGTTGGTATCATCCACAAACTTGATCAGTTGAAAAAACACAAATCCCTGCATTGATCTTTGAAGACCTCCTTAGTTACTTTCCTCCACTGAGAATTTCCCATTTATTTCTACTTTTTGCTTTCTCTTTTTTTAACTAGTTAGCAATCCAGAAAATGACAGGTCCTCTTATCTCATTAACTGCTATATTTACTCCAGAGGCAAGATTTACCTTTGCAGAATCCACTTAGTTTTCTTCAGCAAGGCTTGCTTTAGTTGTTTTTCCTTTTATCATTTTTACCAATTTGCCCAGAAGAGACGCTAAGCAGAACAACTTACTTTTTTTTTTTTTAATTTGATTTATATGCCGCCCTTCTCCGGAGACTCAGGGCCACTTACAATGCACTAAGCAATAGCCTTCATTCTTTTGTATATTTATACAAAGTCAGCTTATTGCCCCCACAACTGGGTCCTCAATTTACCTACCTTAGAAAGGATGGAAGGCTGAGTCAATCTTGAGCCTTGGCGAGATTCGAACCTGCAGTATTTGCAGGCAGCTGGTCTTAATAACAGGGTGCTTTAGAGCACTGTACTACCAAGGCTCTTTTGGGCCTCCCCATGTCACATTAGCTAACTTCTAGCTTTTAGCCCTGAGCTTTATTTTGAATAATATGTTAATACTTTAAAGGAATGTAAAGATAGACACCATCAGTATCCATTGATTTGATTTGTGTAGTTTCTCAAAATTTCTTAAAATACCTTCTTTTGTTATCTTGATTCCCTAGTGTTACCTTGCTTTTGTTTTTTGCTCTTCTTTGTGCTGTTATTAGGTCAGGTTTTCTATTTCCACAGGAAGTGTTATTTTTTACAGGTTGCTGAATAGTGCCACAGAATCATTATAGACCTTTGGTTGTTATATTGTGAAATAAATGTCAATTTGGCTTGATAGAATGCCTCTTGCCTTTTCCTTTCAGTCTTTCACCATTCAAAGCAGTCAGGAAAACTTAGAAGTCTGAAACCAACTCTCTCAGAAGCTGAGTTTACCCACCTTAGACTGTCTTCCTTCTCAGTTGAGCTGCTTAGTGCTTGCTGTTGACTTTTCCAAAAAAGATCCCTTTATGTGGCACCATCCCTGGTATCTCAGTGTGTGAGAAACAGGTGGAAAGATGAAAAAAATGTGAGGACAAGGTACTTGCTTTTCAAGTTGAAGAGCAGAGTATGTTTTGTTTCAGTCAAACCCAACATTTCCTGTGAAAAGTATAAATTCCAGAATTTAGGAAGGTTGAAGAGCCTGACTACTTCCTGAACAGTTTTGAAAAGTCTTGTCTCAACCACAAGCTGGGGTTTGAACACTTGAAAGTGCTGGAAAGAACTTCAGATCTCTTCCATGGAAGACACATGATCCCTTTCACACTTTTGTCTGTAATGTAAAAGATCATATGATCCATGACATGAACATGGTGAAGCCATGACATCTGAGATTTTCTTTGTTGTTCTTTTCCAATTATGAGTTATTTTCTTGTAGAGTTCTGCATGTTGATGTGCTGTTGGTCAGACCTGTATTTGCCTTCTCAGTGACAATTTAGCCTCAGCCTGTCACTTTTTTCTAATTCTGTGAATCTGTGATCTCTTAATTTTATCTCAGTGCAACCTCTCTGAACCTTAGGATCAGCAATTGGATATACAGTATTAGGGCCCAAAATGTTTTAAGGAAGCAAATGCCTTGAGAGCTGTAGGCTGAAAACTGATTATGCATCAATTGCATTTAGGCTCTGAAAAAAATTATTTTTCCTAGTTTGGCTGAGAGAAGTCTGAAAGTTCAGCTTACCGCTATTTATATTGCTTCATTAAGTTATTAAATTGGGTTGTAATGCAGATAATAAACCAAATGTAACTAATCAAGGTGAAGGTTCGCTCTTCACCTTGCATGAATAGACAAAGTGACTGCCTCACCTAGCCTCATTCAAAGGTGTTAGAGAAAGCTTATCATTTATTAACCAGAACCATGTACAGAAGCCTTATACAGCCATATTTTATCCATTCTTTTTCCCCCAATCCAGAAATAGCTGATAAGATCTACAACCTCTTTAATGGCTACACTAGTGGAAAAGAGCAACAAACAGCTTATAATACCTTGCTGGATTTGGGCTCCCCAAGTCTTCATCGGGTCCTCTATCACTACAATCAGCACTATGAAAGCTTTGGGGAGTTTACTTGGCGCTGTGAGGATGAACTGGGACCTCGGTAAGATGCTCCTCCCTCCCTCCCCTCCCCTCCCCTTCCCTGCCTTTCCTTTCTCATATTTCTGAAATTGCTATTGTAATCTTACTTATTCGTTTGTTTTTCACATTTCTGTAATACCCATCTCCCTCAAAGAGGGTTTTGAGTGGTGTACAATTAAATATTGATATATAAAACAATATACTGTATATAAAACTTAAAAAAATAAAAATAAATTAAGAGGAGGCAAGAGATTTAAATTAGTTAAAAGTCTTGAACAAGTAGTTACATTATTGTCAAAGTCGATGCATTCAGATTTATGTTGACCTCATGTGCCATTCTAATGAGACTTGGCTCACTCAGAGCATTACAGGAATGAGGAGACCATTTCCATAACACTGCCAAGATGCTGCAGGGGTATGGTCACCAGCAGCCCTATGATCTCAGCTTGCCTAACCATGAGTCAAATGATCATGACATGCTGAGCAACTAGGACCATTCAAAAGGAATTGTTTTCCAGCTCTCACAGTCTCTAAAGGATCATAATAAAACTTAGAAATCAGGTGATGGAGCCTCTACTTCTAGGCAGGTGATAGGCTATGTGATTGTCAAGATCTATTATTTGCAAATTCTTGCTTAACCAGGAGGGTGGATCATTGCTCCACTTTTTACATTTTTCTCTTTCATACTAGTGTTTTTCTCCTCCAGCTCGAGACAAACATTCCCTTCCACCCCAAATTGCTGCAAGAGGAAATCATGTTCATAAGAGAGTACCCATTATACTTTTGCTTTTGATCAAGCATGTTCACAGGTTTTTGTATTGCTTCAGTTAATTGAATTGTTGTGACACAAAAGAACTCGGTGTTTATGTTGCAGAAAATGAAACCCTCAAACAGAATTAAATTCTTTCAGGGTCAAACTTAGTGAGCAGATAAGGATCTGAAATTGTATATCTCTTCTCCTCATTCTTTGCAAAATAAAGGTGATTGTTATGGAATTTCCCTGTCTGTTACTCTTCCAACAATCTAGGATAAATTAGATTTTGTTTTCAGATGGAAATTGATCTCCACCCTTATTTTAAATTCAAATGGAGCAAAGAGCTCTACATATACGGGTCATGCACATAGCCAATTTGTTATGCTTTCTCCAGAATTAGGAGGAACTATATTGGCGTAAATCATGCTGCCCCTGAATGTTTCTCTGAAACGTGCTATGCTATGCCACTCTTCTTACAGCTCTAGCCTGCAACCCCATAAAATTGGTTGGCTATCTTCTCATCAAAAATTCCTTTCCTGACCAATATCATCAAGTACAGGAAAAGCTGCCCTTAGTTATCCCACAAAATGTATTTCAGGGCAGTACTTTACTTCCTGGGTGCTCTGCCTTTTTTGCCAATGTATGGTCTCACTATCAATCACTAGTTGGATGCAAAGTGCCAGACTCATCTGTCTCTCTTGCCTGCCTTCTAGCAGCTGTTTGGATTTGTGTAGTCCAGTGCAGCTTCTGCATAAGTATTGATGAAGAGCCAGAGTTCAAGAAAGAAGTTTTGGGATGCCTCAGTGTTTCACGTTCATGATTCTCATTACAATGTATTGCTGTCCGATATGCCATATCCAAACCCACTACCCTTGCATTGTTTCTTTCTGCAGAAAAGCTGGTCTTATCCTTTCCCAGCTTGGGGATCTAAGTGGCTGGTGCCACAGCCTTTTACAAGAGCCCAAAATCAGTCTTCAGCGCACAACGCTCAAATTCCTTGCCTGCCGCTACAGTGAGATCAAGCCATATGGATTCAATTGGCTGGAGCTGAGTCGTGACCTGAAGAAAACATGTGAGGAGCAGATGCTGAATGTTCTTTACAATGACTATGGAGACAAAGACAACTGAGCAGGCTCGCGGAAAGACATCAAAAGAACTTCCTCAGAATTGGGAAGACGGGGAGTTTATAGGAGCAGGTTGTTGAGGTTTTTACATGGATATTCAACACACCAGATAGATATCTAATGATAGCGCTGCTTACAGAGAGAGAGAGAGAGAATGTTTATTTCTGTTGACTTAGTTGATTTCACATGGTACAAAGCTTTCCTATCTTTGCAAGTGATGTGATACCTAGTGTGGTTATGGGAGATGTTATCTTTGGAATGAGGGAATTGCTCTGCTTATTTTACCAAGATATTCCTTAGTCTTGTGTGGGGAGGTATTACTGCATGTGTGTGATCCACCACAAAAAACACTCCTAGAACAGCAACCTGTTCTACTCTACACAAGTAACGCCACTGATACAAGGACATACACAGATGCACATGAAATAAAACAGAATAACCAAAGCTAACAAAATTCTAAACAATCAGCAACAGGAAGAAGAATGCAAGCATGTTTAAAGGAAAGGATAAAATACATAGAATGAATTAACTAAATATCTTCCATAGAAAAGTTCCTTTATGTGATGTCTGCCTCATTTCCTTTTATAGCAGCCGTTCCTTTGTTATTTCACTTTTGAATTTCTTCCTAGGGTAGTCAGAGCATTTCTTCTTGCAATTCCCATTTGGATATGCATCACTGAGACACGTTACAGTTTCATGAAAGATTTCAAAGATGCCAAACGGCCGAGACCACAACATAGTTTAGGAGCTTCCATAGCTTCCAATGCTTCCGATGAAACAAATACTAAAATCATAGCATCAAAACTCAATTTTGTCATTAGGAAATCCAAATAAAAGAAAGTACAGAAGTTGAAGTTGTTTGATAGGGGAACCAATCATTTATATTGGGAGCAAAATAAGATGTAAATTTAAAATAAAATTTAGAGTATCTTAACCCACAGCCATCCAGCCTGCACCAGCAGTTATTAAGACTTGATTGCAATTAGTGCAATAACGTAAGTGGGAAGAAAAGTGCATCCATGGTTGTAGAGGTAGAAATTAAGAAGCAATTGATCTAATAGGTTTGCTACATTTGGAACAAGGCTTTGCCATCTGTATTATGCTGTTTCGGTCAGTTTCTGTACACTCGGCATTTTGTTACCAGGATATATAATTAGATTTATAATTTACAAATGTATGAATATGTGGTGAACTTCCTTGCAGCTGCTGCTGCTGAGCCAGAAAGCAGTTGGCAGTGGGGGTCTGTGATTTGCTGAAGAGCTTCACCTATGTTTGGCTGCTACAGCCAAGTCTTTCTTTCACCTCTTCAAGAGTCATTTAAACCAGGTGTCTCTGCCATCCAAACAGTTGGTCCTTGTTGAACATGCCCACAAAGGAGATGATAACAGGAAATCTTAGAGCCAGGCAGTGTCCAGTAAGATTAATGTCCAGTTATTCTAGAAACCTACCTGTCCATTTCTGGGGTTTCTTGTTGCCTTGTACATACTCTGCAAATATTCTGAGCCAAGAACTTCTCAGGGAAATTGAGCTAGAGAAACCTTTATCTGCACCAGGTAAAAATGATCTTCAGGAACATAGCTAGAATCATAAGATGAGCCATGAATAAACTCAGCTCAGCAATTTTTTATTTGCCAATGGTAACAAAAGAACCCCCCCTCCCCCAAAGGTGAGAGCTGTAATTACGGAAGCTTTCAACTCCTGAGAAAGGCAACATACTCCAATAGGAATGAGGGAACCTCAAACAGTTGGCTCTATTCCAACTCTATTGGAAAAGGCTTTGGCTTCCTCTCATTCCATCACAATCTAAAGCTTCTTTCAAAATATTTGGAAACTTGGTAATTATGTACATATATGTTCTGCCCATCAATATTTGCCTATCCTAAGGATACTTTCAGATTACAAATATCTGAATATACTTCTAAAATGTAGAGTCTATCTTAGACTATATTGCAGAACATGGTCTGAAAAAATGTGCATTTTTAAAATCTTCCTTGTTAAATTATTAGTTTATTAAAGGACTCTGGAGTTAGAAGCAATGTTTTAGCAGAAAAAAAGGCTGCATTTATTATTCCCTCTTGCAGTGTTCCTCAAACTCAGGAACTTTAAGATGGGACTTCAACTCCCAGAATACCCAGCATATTTAATATCTTAAAAGTTGCTGAAATTGAGGACCACTTCCTTACTGCCTTGCTGTGCACCCATTCGTGGTTGTGACTTCCCACAGTTCTTCTTCATTAAAAACTATCCAATCATGAAGAATTCTAAAAGTAGACTCCTTAAAATATGGGATTTCTTTTTCAAGCCCATGCAGAGGTCTAAAAATACCAGGATGATTTAATGAATAGTAAATAGATGCTGTGCTTGCACCAGACTTAAGTATGCTTCATGACCAGTTTCAAGCATGCACAGCTCACCTTATCTAATTTGGCTCTGAACATAGAATTAGTGAGGTAGCAACATCCATGCTTAGGAGGAAATGTTGTTTTCTTCTTATGGAAAGTAATGCTGAGAGACTAATCACTAAAAATTGTCAGAGGGAAATCCCTTATTTGTTTGTGACTGCCATTCTGAATGCAAATGGAACATATATTGCCTGTGGTCTAACAAAGATGGTAGACGCGCTCTTTGTATTACATTCTCCTATTAGCTCAACAATAAGCAAAGGGGAATGGAAACAGAATTTTAGCCCTTAAGGTATTCACTTTTTATATGCCAAAAATATTGGTAATGGGTTTCCAGCTGAATGCTCTGAAATATGACAACCAATTGCTTATTTCTGTTGAATATTTTCAACTAAAGATGTTTACGCCCTTAAAAAAGCCTTAGTCAATGAAACATGTTTAAAAGTGCTACATTTCTGATGACTACCACTTTCTGATGATTGTAGAGGGAGAAAGGGGTGGGTGTTTTTAGATGGTGCAGATGCTTTTTGCTTAATTCCACCAATGTCAGGAAGATGTATAGGCCAATGCATCTGGAGAGCACTGAGTTGGGAAAGCAAACAAGCAAATAAGCCACTAAACATGGTAACCCAAATTTTTGATTCAAGCACATGTGGAACTGCTTGAAATAGAAGAGCCTCTCTCTCCTTCCAATGCCTTGTACCGTTCTTTTTGCCAGTGGTTTTTTTTCCATTTACCTTCCAAATCCTGGCTCCCAAAATGCTACAGCCATTTGGTTATATTGAACAACAGTTTCCTTTAATTTGTCTCATATCTCAGTGTAAGAGAGCCGAGGTGGTGCAGTTGACTGCTAGCTGCAGTTCAGCAGTTCAAATCTCACCGGCTCAAGGTTGACTCAGCCTTCCATCCTTCCGAGGTGGGTAAAATGAGGACCCAGATTGTTGGGGGCAATATGCTGACTCTGTAAACCGCTTAGAGAGGGCTGTAAAAGCAGTATATAAGTCTAAGTGCTATTGCTATTGCTATTAGGGTTTCCTTGCTACAGAATTCTTCTTTTCTACATGCAGGTTTCATGTTTGAATTAGTGGAATATTACCCTTATTTTTACACATACTTTGCACACCTAGACGCAAAAACACATTCACTAATTGCAGGCACCATTAGATTTGTAATGCATAACAACATTGAAATCAGAATATCCTTTTAAAAATCTGCATTTTATTTAATAAGAAACAAAAATTCAGTCATGTTCTTTCACAGTTTTGCTTCATTGTACCCTGGGTGATAGTTTTATTTTTGTTTTTTAATAGTGCCGCTTGCTTCAGATTGCTCCAAGTCAAACAATTATGCTCAATCATCCTATGAACAAGGGATCCTTGATCTAACTTTGCCTTCTCTCTGCCTGAGGAAAAAGGACTAAGAAAGGACAACTGCTATCTCAAACTATATTTTTCCAATTGACAGATGTGAGGTTTACCAGCCTTGATATGGTACTATTCATTGAAATCATATCCTTTAACTTGGGCCATGGACCATATATAAAAGAAGAAAGCAAAAGCTACCTAAACTCATTGAGTATCTAAGAGGATTTCGGGAATCTTCCTGATTCTTGAAACTTTTGGACAAGAAGATTTTGTTCCAACTATTAATGTACTTATATTTACTGTGTTGTGAAATAAAAGAGGACATTTAGGATACTGACCTACAAATGTAGACGTTCATAGGATTGTTTTGTTATTGAGCCGGTTTTAAAAGCCCTTCATTTTGCTATATTTTTATTATTTTAGGATGAAAGAATGGAATCAAATTGAACTTTTCCTATTATCCTTTCAAGATTTTATACTGTGTATTAGCCTAGTTATCTTTTACTTGTTGTGCAGTTAATATGATCGATTTCATGCCTTCCCCAAATTCAGTATGATTCTCACTTTTTTGATGCTTGAACTCTAACTCAAAAGTTTTGCTACTCTTCTGTAAAGATTGCAGTTGGCAGAAGTGTTTTGAAACAGCAGTGTTATTGTTATTCTTTAAAAGATTTCAAAACCATCATTATTACACACTGTAAAATTCAGATGAACTGAACATCTAACTGAATATTAAATGGCACTGTTAGTAATTTGTGAGATTGAGGAATTACAATGTCTGTTTATTTTTCATACCAATTGATGTCATCTCCATACCCTCCAAAAATTATCGTTATTTTTGCTTTCAAACTCTGCAACCTCATCTGAGCTTGCAGAGATACATCCTCACATTTTTATATAGATAAGTTATTAGGATCAAAGGTGCACTTAGCAGTTTGAAATAATTCTCCACTTCTAAAACATTTTGAGCTGAATTATATTACCCTGATTTTGCAATGGTATCCTATACACTATCATTACTGAAATCTACTTTTTCTGGCTTCCCACAAAATCAAGAATTTTAGCATTACATGGTCACTTTCCCCCAAAGTTACTGTTATTTCACCTTTGCACATCTTCCCTATTGATTAGTATCAAATCAAGGATAACTGATCTTCTTCAGTCCTCTAAAAGATAAATTTCTTATCTAAATGTCAGAAAATTTCTGAAAAGTCCCTGCTTGGCACAGACTGAATTGTAACAATTGTCAGTGTTTGAATTACTATATACCTCTTGAAATACTTTTTGGAAAGCAGCTGCACTGCCTCTTTAATTGGAGGCACCACCACACTGCTTTTATTTGTTCCTAAAGTGACTTTAATGTGATGCTTTCTGCAGCATTGCCTAGTTAATTAATCTTGGTTTTCTGAGCATGATTAGATAGTTTTAAGCCATAGTGCAATTTTCTCCCTTTCCCTTGCTTCTATTCCTTTTGAACAAATGATATCCTTAAATTGTTACATTTCAGACAGTGGAATCGCATCTGTTATACTTATTTGCCGTTCTGTACTTAGATGTCAAATGCATCTTATTTCCTGAACTCTGAGGATCATTATATAGACAATGAAGACTATGTTCTTAATGAACCAATATATTTTCTGGGTTTTTTTTTGGGGGGGGGGGGGTTGGAATAGTTCAAGAAGCTCCATTTCAGCAACAATCTCATTTTCTACAGCACACAAGTGTTTACCTGAGGTCCTTCAGAATTTCCATTTCCATTCCTTACTAGATCCAGTTTAAATTGGCCTCCAATCCATTTTGCCCTGCTTTGGTCAAATACATTCTTTAACCTGAGGTGTTACCGATTTGTTTCCAGTAATTCCCCCATTCTGATCATTCAAACAACACCCCAAATCTCTTCTATCAATATAATCTGCATAGCACTTTCTCAATTTGTGCTATTCCTGTCTTTCTTTCTGGTTCTCTTCCATGGACTGGGTGGACAGATGAGAACACCACCTGGCCCCAGGGCTGTGAGTTTCTCTCTGAAATTGATGCTGCCCTCTTGTTGTAATAAAGCATATCTCTCTATCTCTCTGAGATTTTCAAAATCTAGTTGGCATTATTATAATTATTCTTTGGAGCACCATTTATCCTTGTATCTATCAACAGAAAGAGAAAAACATATATTAATAAGTCTCAAAAACTTGCTTTTTTTGTTTTGCTTTGAGTCCTTTAATACTTGGAGATTGAACACTACTTGAGTCAACAGTTCTGCTCAACAAATCTTAATTTCAGTGCTTTTTAATACCAAATCACCAAAACATTGCTACTGATTGCTACTGCAGTCATGTGAGCTTCATTTTCAACATTCCATGACAGTTTCCCAGCCAGTCCCTGAATACCTTACTCCCTCCCCATTCAGCAACAAGCAATTGACTCATAATGTGGCTCTTAAAGAAGCAACAACAAACAACAAAGGTGTATGAAGAAAAATCTTGGAATTTTTATTGCTTTACATATGTTCTCTTTCTCTGGCACACAAACATGTATATTTATATCCCATCTTTGTTCAAGAACTCAAGCACATGCATAATGCTCCATCCTCTTCTTGTGGCTACAGATGGAATATAAACTGGATCTTTCTGGTATCAGTCAAATACATTAGCCACTGTACCTTAGCTTTTGCCCATTCTGTTTCATTTTAACTGCTTCCTACTCTGAATGTCTGATTTACTTTGGCCACATCATGTGTGTAAATTCATTGGAGGAAGTAATAATGCTAGTAATAATTAGTAGAATAAAAAGAAGTGACAAGAAAATAACACACTGGCTTGATAACATCAAATCTGTGACAAGGTTGAACATCCAACAATTGAAAGAAGCTGTCTTCGCAGGGTAGCATGGAAAACGCGTGCCTATAAAGTCATGCAATGGGTCGAATGCAATGAAATGGTTAAAACAACAAAACTCTGAATGTAGATTGGCCCTTCCTTTGGCCAACATAGTTCAGACAAATCAGTCCTGGCCGAGCCCTCAAGAGGTCATTTGATCCTATTTTTAAACTGTCTCTGATAGCTTCTTACAAATCAGTGTAGAACTGACAGGGAGTCTGAATTCTGAGGTGAGAATACCAATGTACAACATTGTGGTAAAAAAAAATAGTTCAATTAAAATAAAATATCAGCATAATGGAAAGCGGGGACATCATGTCAAAAGATGACACCAATCATTGGGATGTGTCAAGGAGGAGGAATGAAGGCTGAAAGGGCTGCACATCTCCAGAATCACAAGGAAAGGTACAGAATAAGGAGCCAAAAAAATGGAGTAGGAAAGGTAAAATCAACCCAAGAATATGTGGCAAACACTAATTTTTATGAGTTCATCAATACCTGTCTTCAACAACAAGGCCTCAACAGAGAAAGAGCAAGGCAAAATGCACAATGCATTATTTCTGCTGATGTTGGTGCCATGGCCAAAGTCTCTCCTCACTGTCATGTGTTCCTATTCCCTGGAGAAACTGCCCATTTCTGCTGAATGAAAGGTCAGGAAAGGCAATTTGCAACCTCTACCTAATTAACACCTCAATTTATATATCAATGAAGAACCTGTTGCAAATTAGTTCAGAAAGAACATCAGACAATAAAATGACCTCTTCCAAATGATATCCTTTGGGTGCCCAGAAGATCCTTACAATTGAGGAATGGATGGAATCCTTCTGTGATTATTCAAGGCAAAAACCATCATTACATCAGACATTTAATGCCAGGCCCCAATCAGCAAGTCAAATTTATTCAAATTTACTTCATGGATCCAATGTAGAATTGAAAATGGGTATACACCATAATAATGGAATTCAATGTGAGATTATTGAATTATTCAAAATAACAGGGAGGGAAGGAAGGGAGGGAGGGAGGGGGAAGGAAGGAAGGAAGGAAGGAAGGAAGGAAGGAAGGGTTTCTGATACTTCCAGTCAGCTTCCTACAAGGAAACTCAAAAGGAGAAGCCAGCCGAATCTGTAAATAAGAATCTGTAATCTCTAATCTGTTCATACTGTTTTATGACCATGCATGGTCAATTCTATTTCTTGGTTTAGGTAAGGAAATATCTCTGAAACAATGACCCAACAGGGCATGAGTTATCTAGTATCTTCTACATCTCTTACTTCTGGATCTTACTGTCATGCATTGAGCTTGATCCTCTATTTGTCTGTCTTCCAGGGCCTCCTTTAAGCTTATCAACAGCAATGGTCACTTGCTGCTTCATCCTTGAACACTTTCTTCAAAAACTGCTATAATTTAGCATTTGCTGCAAAGATATATCAGGTTTTCAGGCAGGAAACATTACAATTTCAGATTCTTCTCTATTCATCTTCACCTTTTCTTTTGATAGCACCAAACAAGGCTTCTCTTCATTCTTGTTGTATTTTACAGGTTTTTATCTTAGCCAATACCAACTATTGCTATAAGGGGGGAAATAGTTAAAGAACTTCCCCTTCAACTCCCCTGCCAAACTTCTGTTAGTTCAAACTCTGTGAGCTTCCTCCTTGAAAGCAAACTGCTTTATATTTTGTAATTTCTGCATGCTCAGGAGAAAGCAATCAGACCTTCATTCTCAGCAGGCTATCAGCAGCTCTCCAGACACACACCTTGTAATAAGAAGCTTTCCTAGATATTATTTTTCACAGCTCAGTGCACAGTCCCTCAGAACATACAGCTTCTCTGCTCAAGCTACTTTTTTCCTCTGGGCAATGCTATGAGAACTGTTGTGGTGGTGGGTTAAAGGGATTGCAATAAACTGTGATAATGCCTTTACACAGAGGAGAACACTGCTAGGATCAAAGAACATCTAAGCTCTAGAACATTGGGAAAATCCCAATGCAAGGGCATGAAATTCATGCACAGATTACCATTAGGAGAATCGGGTACAGATGTCTTACAGCTTCGGTGAAGACTCTAGAATGGTGAATCTGACTACATAGGACATAAATAGGTTTGCAATGTGATGCTTTCAGACATATAAATTAGTTTACCTCAATATGCTATGATCCTTGAAATAACTAGTCATCAAGCAGCCTGGTTATATATGTACAACCAACACAAGAACGCAAGTACACATCTGAATTACGACTGATAAGTAAGGGTAAGGGAATTTCAGGTCTTTTAGGTCTGAATTGCTATTAAGTATTAAGACTAAACACACCTAACAATATAGGTGCCATCTACAATTTTAATGTCAACACTAGGCTATAGCTGAGAGCACTGACTTTATCAGAATTGTAATATTCACAAGGTAATTTCCTCCATCTTGTAATTAACAGATATTAATAGATTAACAGAGTTGGAAGGGACTTTGTAGGTCATCTAGTCCAATCCCCACCCAAGCAGGAAACCCTACACCATTTCTGACAGATAGCAGTCCAGTCTCTTCCTGAAAGTTTCCAGTGATGAAATTCCCACAACTTCTGAGGGCAAGCTGTTCCTTTGGTTGATTGCTTTCACTGTCAGAAAAATTCTCCTTATTTCCAGGTTGAATCTCTCCTTGTTCAGTTTCCATTCATTATTCCCTGTCTGGCCCTCAGGTGCTTTGGAAAATAGCTTGACCCCTCCTCTCTGTAGCCTCAAATATTGGAACACTGCTATCATGTCTCCCCTGGTCCTTCTGTTCATTAGACTAGCCTCCAGTCCCCTAATCACCTTTGTTGCTCTTCTCTGCACTTTCTAGAGTCTCAACATCTTTCTTTAGTGTGGTAACCAAAACTGGATGCAGTATTCTAGGTGTGGTCCTACTAAGGCTTTAGAGTAGTCCAAGACATTGGTAGATCTCCAAGTTGGTGGGGGGGTGGGCGGGAGGGCATGCTGTGCAAGTCCATGCTGCAATTTGCACCTACCATCTCCAGCTGCTACAACGTAACACATAGGGCAAATTAGCCACTATAAATTAATGGTATAGTACATTGTAGGGTAAGTGTGCACTTTAGAAAGAGAGTCCAATTACTTCACAAGGCCAATTGTAAAAACATGACTAGAGAAGAATTCTGGCTAAGTCCTGTGTTCCCCCAGTGAGCCAAACAAGAAAAATAACACCTCTTGATAGCAAGTGTAACATTTGGCCTCAGTCTCTGACAGCCATTTAATACTGCACTATTTCCAGCAAAACTCTTTGTTATTAAATATTAAAGTGAAAACAGAATATATGTATTATAATCTGTATAATGTATGTATATGTGTGTTCAGTGAGGCACAATACCAATATGACCATTGTACAGTAAACGAACATTTCATTTTGGGGGGAACTATTTAAGGCAGCTCTCTTTTCAATATTATTTTGGGCTTTTCTTCCTTGGTTCCTCTTGGGAACAAATTTCTGCCCATGTGAAACTTTATATGTTGGATTTCCAAGAACTTCCAAGATTTCCAAGAACTTCCATATGTTAATTCCAAGGACTGAAGTGTAAATCAGCCATTGAATTATTTCTTTCACTAGCAAAGGCAAATCTCTAGCACAGCAGGGTTATATTTAATTTCAGGGACAACATATTGATATGTATAAATTATTTTTGCCGAACTACTGTCCTAGACAACTCGTGCTGATATGGATTTTTTTTCTTAGAAATGCTGTTCATTTCACATCAAAGGTAACAAGATGGAGAAAGACACGGATGGATCAGTAGATTATTTAATTTTATAGATTTTTATAAAAAATAATCATCAAATACAAAACAAAAACAAAAAATAGTAGCAGCCTCCACTGTGAATAAAGCTGTCCTTCTAAAAGGGGACGTGATGTGCTATGTTGCTAAAGGCAATCCCGTATTCTCATACTGTAAAAATGAGCAATTCACTAAAATGACCTTTCCTCAATTGATATTTTCAATCAGCTCTAGTGCAGGAATGTAATAAATCTTTGTCCTCAATGCTCTATTCACAGAATAGTCTTCAGCACCTAATTTGAGATAATTAGCTAGTTTAATGCTATTTTAAGCAATAAGGAAAACCATCCAGTCAGTGGGTGAAAGGCAGCCAATCTGTGACATCTGTAACATTTGATAGGGCTTGGAGCTGAACTTCAGAAACTCAGGCAGTATCATAGGACGTCACTGAGGTGTCAAAGACACAGCAGTTGGGAGTACAGATTACATCTTGCCCCAAATACCAGAAAATGACCAATTTCTTATGACCAATCCTTAAAGTATCTCTACCACTATGGGTTAAACTAGAGTAATGCTTAGCCAAGATGAACTTTGCACTTGTTCCTTACTGAGCAGCCCCCAGTGTTTCCTAAAAAAACACTTTGGATGACCACTGCATCCTCTAGAACAGGGGTGTCAAACTCAAGGCCCACCGGGTGTTTAAATCTGGTCCGTGGGGCCACCCTGGAAACAAAGAGGGACCTCTGTGCCTCTGCTAGTGAAAATGGGGCTTGGGACCTCCTGAGCTCTGTTTTCTCTGGCAGAGGGTTGCAAGAGGCCATCGCAGCCTAAAATGTAGCTTGAGAGCCCACTTTCACTGGGAGAGCACTTGGGTCACACACAACATGAGTGACGTCGAGCTGGCCATGCCCACCCTGGCCACAACCACCCTGCCCTCCCCCCGAGGTCAAACACAACCCTGATATGGTCCTCAATGAAATCAGTTTGACACCCTTGCTCTAGAACAGTGGTTCTCAACCTGTGGGTCGGGACCCCTTTGGGGGTCGAATGACCCTTTCACAGGGGTCGCCTAAGACCATCTGAAAACACATATTTTCAATGGTTTTAGGAATAATTTTATGGTTGGGGGTCACCACAACATGAGGAACTGTATTAAAGGGTCGCGGCATTAGGAAGGTTGAGACCCACTGCTCTAGAATGACCTGGCAAGCAGCATTAATAGGGGAGAGGAGATTAAGCCTTTCTCTGGATTCCCTCCCCCCAACAAGGTCTTTCTCTCCATTGTGCTGGTGATAAAGGGAATCTTGTTTCTCATAACATCATTTCAAATGAAACACAAAGTGAATAAAAGGGGTTGTGCTGCTGTGGAAATCACCATCCCATTCAATCTCATTTCACCCTCTGGAGAGAGTACCAATATAATATGAGTTCCTAAATATATATGCTTCATCCATACATAACCAATAAATAAAGATATACCTCTTTACATTTTTTTTATCTGAAAAACTTATTTTTAAAAAAGGAAATAAGTTTGATTTGTAGAGGTGATTGGAACTTTCCCAATTAAAATTGTGTGCTGTGGTGGCCGACATCTGGTGTACATACTACAAACAGTGACATGCTTGCATAATTCTAGAGGGCCTATGGATTTTTCTGGGTTAGACATCAATGCTTCTCTGCCCTTAAATGATTTCCCCTTCATATATGCATTGCATATTAGTGAACACAAATCCAGGCAGTAGAATTTATTCCAGATTACCTAACAGTGCAATCACATTTCAAACATCTGTTTCTACTGAGATGCAGATTATAAATCTCTGGGTCAAATAAGAGAAGACATAATTTGATATTTTAAGAAATTTATCATTGACTGCAGAAGTAGGTAACTTCAAGCACTTTCTCTCTCTGCTAGAGTTCCCAACTGTACTTTGCTTGGAGAAGGCAACTGTTGTAGAACCATAGCAATTCCTTGTGAACCCAAATAGATGGTTGCAAGTCACATAGAACTTTCCATATCGTGAACATCTCAGTATGTTCAGGTCCTTGAACCCATTAAGCCATGTTAACCAAATAGTATTCCTGTGAGCTTTTAAAGTGTCATACTTGGGTTAATTTAGCATTCAAACATCTTTTAAAATTGTAGATGGGCCAGAAAGAGATGAAATTACCCCATTATCCGTACAAATGTCATCATTCCCAGATGAAGACTAAAATGAGGCAATTAAGGTGTCAGACTCAAGGGATGCATGATAAATTTTGGTATAGATTTTATACCAGGTTGACATTTTTATACTATAATTCAAAACCTCTTTTAAAAAAAAAAAAAAACCACAAGAAGAACCCTATTGTAATTCTGCATCACGAAGTAAATACTAAATGTGCTAGACAGTGTCTGATCAGCTAAACTTCTAATTTCTGAATGTTGATGTAAAGTTTCCTTTATAGGCTTATATTAAAAAAATGTGGAAGCATACTTTGAATACCCATGATGAGGCCATATATACAATGAGCAAAATCAAGCAGTAACACTTTCCCTGAATTGCATCTCTTCAGGCTATTATTCCCTGAAGACATACAATCTTTCTACATCAACGTACAAAATTGGCTAAAAGATTGTTAGTAAACAACACTGTCCTTTATCCTTCCCTTTTCTGACCTGCAAGAAGAGGAAGTACAAGTTCTGTGTGAAAGGTAGTTTACTCTTCAAACAGTATAACCACAAAAAGACTTAAAATAAGATGTGGAAGCTGATGGGAACCAAGAGAAAAGAATTACAAAAGTATGTGGAAGTCTGCTAATGGAATTATGCAGAAGAATGCTAAATGAAATTAAGAAGTCACAAAGGCAAACAAAAATCACATAAAATAATGACTGCTGCAAAATTACAGATGAAAGATACTGTATAATATGCATATGGAGAAAAACAAAAGGAATAAATGGGCTAACGGGCTAGATAAAATTGGACTATTGAAACAGTTGCAGTAAGATTTTGGAATTCATTATAATGAATACACAGTTAATGAGAAATAGACTCTTTTATTAGAAGGCAAAAGAAAGATAAACAATATCATGATTTCAAAAACTGGACACTAGAGGGGACTAAAGTTTTTGGGTAGAGGAAAGATTTACAAGCCTGTAAAATGTTGCAACATGTTGTAACAATAATAAAATATTGAAGGAGACTTTTGAATAATGGAATCAGAAAATGGTAGCCACAATATCAACTATATCAGTAATGATGGCTACTTTCATGGATATATTATGTCCAAAATATGTTACTGAAGAAATGACAGATGTAGAACAAAGTTTATATGACCCAATAGAGATAGCATCTCAAGTAGATTTACAACTGACGGGTCAAGAGAATGATCTAGAAAAGGATGTTTCACTGGATCTACAAAACACACTGGTTGAGGTTTTAAAATTTAAAAGGGAAATACAAATGACAAACCAAGAGAGTGACTTGGAGTGAGTGGATTTTGTTTTCCTACTTGACTTACAAAACAGGCTTGTTAAAACCTTAAACAACTCTTAGCAATCAGACAAAGAATAAATGAAGAGAAATCAAATCCAACAATATTAGAACTAAACTAAAAATTAGAATTGTTTGAAGTAAAAGGAAGGAACATAAGATTCAAGAACAAGGTTACACCTCTAGTAACACTTTATACACTTAGTGTTGACATGAGGATTGAAAATATGGTGTTTTATGGATTTGGTTATAGATAAGATATAGATGGTATATGGGATGAAGAGATAAATGTTTATAGCCTCAGAGTGGATTAAGAGTTATTACATTTCTTTATACTTGTGATGAAGGTTGGAAGACATTTCTTTATATATTTTTCTCTTTATTATATTCTTTATTACATTTTTCTTTTTTTGCACTTTTTACTTCTTTCTATTCATTTTCTGTCTTTTAGTTTGTATTAGAAATTATTATAATCAAAATTCTTAATGAAATCACATATATCTTGAAATATAAATAGTAGTGTTCCAAGAAGAAAAATGATAAAAAAAAGGCTATCATAAATACTCACAGTTGAAAAAGGGTAAAAAATGCAAGTATAGGTGGTATAAATCTTAAAACACAGGTATAGTTTGCCTACAGAATGGCTGGCTCATTTAATGGGAAGGCTGCATCTGAGTTTGATAAATGGATGCATGTTGTTATTACTACTTTCCTTCAAGGAAAGAATAGCAAGACTGAGTAACACATTTATGGTGGGATTTATTAAGTGTATTTGGGAAAATGTTTTGGAGAATTCTAATTGAAAAGCTAGGAGACACAACAATAAGCAATCCAGCTTTATGCTAGGCAAGCAGTGAGCAACCAGCTTTTATCAGGCCATTAAGAAATGCATAAATATGAAACAGAAACACATAAAAAAGAAATACATTATACACTGATTTAGAGAAAGTATCTAATAAAGTGAATACATTTAAATCATGGATGATTTGAAAGTTGATTGGTGAATGTGGTAAGAGGAGTGATGAAAGAAAAGTATGTGTCAGAATAAACGGGCTGGTGACTCATTCTTCTTTTACTATATTTATGGATAATTGTACTGTATAAGGAATCCTTGAAGTGTATTGGTTGGCAACATGTTTGAAAGTTTTGCAGCAAATGTTAGGTGAGTAGGCTGACAGAATTAACAGCATAGATTTTAAAATGGATGCATTAACAGTCAAGGAAGCTGTGTTTAGGGCATGTTTGTTATTCATACCTAATTACTAAAATTAGACAAAGTAAATGAGTTTATGTATCTCTCTACAATGTTTACTAAAGAATGGAAAATAGATGAAAAGATGGACTTCCGGTTTGGCGCTGTGGCAATCCAGTCAGGGAAATAGCGGGGCTCTGATGAGCCCTGCGAAAACCCTGACTGTCGAGCTGCCGCCAACAGGTCTGCGGACCTACCCTGTCCTGTAGGGACAGGGGGAAAGAGAGGGACCCCTTGGACAGCCGAGAGGAACGGGCAGGTTCCTTGGGGCCGGAGGAAGCCCTCTGAGCCGGCGGCAGGGAAGCGGCAGCCATGGCGGCTGCCTCGAAGCCGGGGCCAACCAGAGAAGCTTAGTGCAGGAGGAAGAAGGAAGAGTGAAGTGTTCGGAAGCTGGGTAAGTGAGACCAAACCCAGGTGGAACAGTGCTTAAATTATGGTTATCTACAAGAGAGCCCCTAGCCTTAATTAGCGGCTATAGACCATCGGGCAAGAAGACCTAATAAAACAACTTACAGGAGGAAAAGACCCATAAATGAATTAATGCTATTATTGACTGACTTGGAATGATCATTCTTTGGAAAGTTACAAAACTTTGAAAATTTCTTTTTTCTAAATGGGAATGGATTATCTTTGAAGAGAAAAAGAGGGAAGAGGCAATAAACAGGAACTTTTTAAAATAAGGGGAAAAGATAAGCGGATAACTATACAGTAGCCAAAATGGAGAATTGCCATGACAAAGTGAAAGTGCAAATTGTGGATTGTTTGCGACTTGAAAGAGAAACTATGTGTCTTGCTATTTAAATTGGATTATTTTGGAAACAATCAAGGAGGTCTGACTCTGGAGATATCCAATCTGTCGACTGGAGGTTTTACTGATGGAAAGAAAGAAGAAATAAACTGGAACAATTAAAATTGAACTAATAGGCGCAGCAACAAAAGAAAAGGGCATGGCAACAAAAGAAGAGACGATGATGCCATATATGGAATAGATGTCACAGAAGAACTTAATTTAATAGAAAAGAATTTAATAAAATTTTTAACTTTGATAACATTAAAATTGAAAAGGAATAGTTTTGGACCGATTGGAAAAAGAAGAAATGGAATATAGTGGGTTGCAAGATAAGAAAAACAACATAGTTTGATTAAAATGAAAATATAATGTTTAATGCCTATTCAAAGTTTGAATATTGATGTGTTTTCTTTCTCTCTTTTTTCCTTTTCTTTTTTTTCTTTTTTCTTTGTTATTCTTTTTCTCTTTCTCTTTACTGTCTCTCTTCTCTCTCTATTTCCTTTCTTACTTTTTATTTCCATTCCTTTTAAACTTTACTACATAAATATACATATACTAATTTGGTCATGAAATAAGACTACAAATGATTGAATGAGAATATGATTTTTTAAAAATGTTTTAAATCTTTAAATGAACTTTTGAATTTTAATAAGAGTTATCTATAGACTTAATAATTAGAGGAAATTGATTTTAAGGTGGATAAAAATGTTGTTTTTATAGAAAAAAAAAGAATAAATATGAAGAGGGATGACTTTAAGGGAAATTTACAATCCAGGAGAAAATATGTGAGAAGAGACTTGTTGAAATACATGTTTAGTTAAAAATTATGGGAGAATACGCTGAAAAAGTTACTTATGTAATATGCTGTGAATCAGTTAAAATAAAACAGCAAAAATAATAGGTGCAGGAGTGGAGGTAAGCACGCTGCTAATATCAGTCGAACAAAAGATGGAGATTTGGAGGAGAATATGCTGGAAATCAGCAAAAATAAAATATGCTGGAAATCAGCCAAATAACAGTGGTAGGTTCGGAGGAGATTATGCTGGAAATCAGCCAAACAAAAGTGGGAGGTATGGAGGAGAATATGCTGTAAATCAGCCAAAATAAAAAATGCTGGAAATCAGCTAAATAATAGTAGGAGTTATGGAGGAGGATATGGATTTTGAGATAAATTGGTGTAATATGAAATGTGTAAAATTAAAGGTAAATTAATAAAGTCTAAGATTTAAAGATTTGATGAAGGGGTTTAGAGATTAAGAAATATGGATAGAATTTTGACTTATAAATTGAAATAAAAAATAGAGCTATAGTCAACTTGAAACAGATGTGTGGTGATAAAATTGTAAGGTAAATAATCAGATTAAGAGATTAGAATATTTTTTAAACTTTATGTTTTGATATTGATGCTAAAAGGTGTAATGAAGGGAGCTTGGGAAAGAACCAGATATAATTGAATTTATAAATGGATATAAAAATGAATTAAGCTTTTTTTTGGAAATTAAATTGGTGGTGATATAATAGAATGGTTCTGATTAAGATATTAGAATTTATATTAAAAAAAAATTATGTTATGATTTTTAATTTTAAAAGATGTAATGGGAAATTGTGAATGGAGCTTTTTAAAATTTAAGTGATTGTACCTATCTATGACTGGATCGAAACTTCGCTCTTGAAAGATATATTTTATGTTTATGTTGGAAAAAAAATAAAAAAAATATTTTTTTTTAAAAAAAGATAATAGATGAAAAGATAATGGCAAGTATTTGGTCTGTTGTGTGGAATAAACGTTTGTCAAATGTTTTGTTTAATAGGATGCTTCTGCCTTCTTTGTTATTAAGGAAGTGAGAGTTCAGAATGACAGAAGAAACATCCCAGAAGAAGTCAGCAGAATAGAGCAGTGTATGACACAGAAGAAGTCAGAGTGATTTGGAAGGAGAGAAATGGATGAAGAAGTATAGTAACTGGTGTAGTTTAAAAATACATTAAGCTTTATGTGTTTTTTTCCCCTTGTATCATATGCCTTTCATTTCTTTAGGTTACTACTTGTAATGCTGCTTAGGAAATAGAGGAATGGGTATTTATATATGCCCAGTAAAAAAATCAGGAATGGCTTCTTTGTGGTACAAGTGTAGGCAGATATGACGGTCAGAGCATTCTCATACATGACTTTAACTCTGCAGTTTAGTGTGACATAATTTTGGGGGGGAGCAATTACTGCTTCATTTAGATATTTAGAAGGGCCCCATTGGAATTCTGCTGGATTTCTGGGAATGTTCATTATATGATCCCACATTTCTAATGTAGTGTATTTCACAGCAGCATGATTTAGTTTACTATACAGCAAGTAAAAATATTATATAGATTTGTAATAAAATTATGTTTAAATATTTGCAGACAGATCACATTTCCCTCTCCACTTTGCTAAATCAAGCTCTAGAGAGGCGCACACCAATAAAACGTCAGAGCAAAGACACAGTTTAGGTGGCAAGCCATTGATGCGGCATGGAAGGTAGCCTTGAGGCTTGGTTCAGATCCAGTTTGCCAGCAGACCTGACAAGATGATACTGTATTTCAGTTCTGATGGAAAAGAAGTTGACCAAATATGGTAAGGGTGTTTCATTTTCTCGCTCTCTTCTCCACCTCTTTCTTCAAAATTTCCTTTCTCCTTTATGCACTTACACATCAAGTGCAGGACCTTTATGACCAGACTTCCCCTGAATCCTTTTCTTCAGCCTTTGCTGTCTCCTATTTATGCTTTCCCTCAAGCCTTTGTAATTTCCTCCAATTTGAGCCTTGGCAGCACAACGTGTCCTGGTGGCTGCTGCAGCGGGCTACTGATTTTCTTCTGCTGCTGGATCCCGGCAGGTGCACTCGTCCTGATCACAGCCATTGGGAAACAGAACAACCTAAAGAATTGGAAGAACAGTGGTGTTTAGGGAATAGAGGCAAAATGATGCCCAATATATTATATAGACCAGGAACTTAAAAGCAAAATAAAAAGTTCTGGCAGAACCAAAACAGAATAAAACCAAAATGGTTTCCACCCCCTATCCCAACGCTGACTTAAGATAGTTTCATTTCGTTATTCAACAAGGGCAGGAACGAAATTCTGAGCTGCTTACAGGTTCTGCTCAATTCGAGAACCTAACAGATAATATTTGCTAAAAAGCACGAGAGTTCTCTGTTATCCACTAAAGCATCTTTCTTTTCCAAATTTCCACACAAACCTAAGAAACAGTTGAGTTGGATTTAAGAATTACATTATCACAAAAGAGTTGCTTTAGTGATCACCAGATGCCATGTGCAAGGGCAAAGTAATTCCCTCAACTTTCCTCTCTTTTAGAAGAGCTTTCAAAATATGGATTTTGAAACAGGCCAGAAGCCATGCCAATTTGTGATCCTGTTTGACTGATGATGAGTGGTTGAAATTTTCTTTTTTGCATATTTCCTCAGGGCATTGGCATTTCTCTTTTTGCTATATGTTTTGATTATGAGTTTTATTCTGTGCACCACTTTGAGTTGTCTTGATTTGATGGCTTTTTAAATGTAATGAAGTGTGCACAGACCTTCCGTTCTGCCAGCACTGATGAAATCTATTAACACACTTCATGAAGCACTTCTTGTTGGACAAAACGCACCAGTTTTACGTGTGCACAATGATAAATATTCTTAGAAAAGATAATCTGTATATACCTGGCATTCCATTTATCTTCATCCACAGCCTTATATGAAATGGGAGCTCATTCAAAGCAGTATTTGAAAGAGCTGCACTGAAAAGAGATCTAGTATCACAAGGAGCAATTAAGGGAAAGCCAGAAACACTTTTGTGAGCTGGTCTCTTTGTGTGCCTCAATAGTCGATAGTTTCTTTCTGTATGTGTTCTATGACTTGAAAAAGACACCCTGTGAATTCTGCTTATACTTTCTACACCAGCAATCAACTTCTTTGGGACCATCACTTGAGCAACCTTGAGAGTTTGAGAGGATTTCTTTGACAAATAACACAAATGCCCCTTTTTCTGGTACAAGTGTGCCACGTAAAATACATCATTTATAAGGAAAGAAACTTGTCATGGCTGTTTAAAAAAAAACAATCCAACTAAAAAACATTCTGCTTCTTTTCTGTTAATTCAACTCCTATGTAAATTCAGTTATTTTTATACACCAGGCCAAGCAGTTCAGCATATAATTTATACACAGACTTCCAGGGCAAGACACTATCTATAAATTTAATTTATCATATGTACTTGTGGATAAGTCCATCCATGGATAAAGGAGCCAGTTTGTTGTAGTGGTGAAGGTGCTGGCCTAGAAACCAGGAGATTGGGAGTTCTAGTTCTGCCTGAAAGCCACCCGGGTGACTTTGGGTCAGTCACACTCTCTCAGCCCAACTCATTTCACAGAGTTGTTCTGGGAAAATAGGAGGAAGGGGTATTAAGTATGTTCATCACTTTGAGTTAATTGTAAAATAATAAAAGTAGGATAAAAATCTAATCAATAAGTAAATAAATAATAGACTGTTGAATTATTAACCAAAATACTATGAAAAAATGCACCATCCATGGATAAGCCTATCCACATTTTTCATGGTATTTTGGTTAAAAATGTAACACGTGGATAAGCTTGTCCATGTGTATATATGGGAAATGCAGGTACTTAAATGTGTTGTGTATTTTGTGGATAAGCTGAATTTGATTTTTTGGATACCTTTTCTCATTTAAAATTCTCGGCTGATCTGCAAATATATATGGTATGTTCCATTTTCTGTAATGGATAACTAACAATATCAGTTACCTTCTTTGAGGAGACTGTGGAGGAACAACAGTCACCACCATCATACTGACAATAGGCTCGGTTGTTGATGGTATCACACCAGCCATCGGCATGGAAAGGCTATAAAGAAAGAGAAAAGAAGCATTCGGTAAATGAAGAGCAACAGAGAAAATCAATTAAGTCTGGCATTCACATGTTAGAAACAATTCATATATTGAAACAGATTTTTTTGTAAAACAAGCTAAGAGAAACAGACCATCAAAACAGCTATACTGATTCAATAATAAGAATCACTAAATATGTAGACATGCTACTGATCTAGCTATCGTGGTTGAAAAATGCACATATACTGTATATATGACATATGACTAAATGACTCCAAGAAATGGTTCTGCTGCCACAAAATGATATGCATTCAGGACTATCCATTCTGAAGAAGTCAATTTAAATTAAGTGAAATCAAGTTCATGTATATTTTTGAGTTATTTGAAGTTAATGAGAGAGTGATAATTTCCTAACACTCATAGATTACCATGTTTAAGTGTGATTTGTCAAAACAAATACTGGGGATCTCGAACATGAAAGTGAAGCAACAAATCAGCATAAATGCTTGAATGAGCTGGTACCGCTTCACCATGTAATTCTTATTGGTAATGCTATATTGTAAATAAAAAAAAACCTTGCTGTTATGTAATCAAGGAAGGATGTTTTATTACATTGTGCCTATGAGAGGTTTAAGATACATGGTTAATGAGGATGCTATGGCAACATCACCTCTCTACTGTATTCCTAGAGAAGAGCAGGTAAGAAAGAAAACCAGTAAAACTAAGGAGATAATTTGACTCTTCCCACTTTTTTGCTGTATTCCACACAATAGGGTTTGTTTATTTAGATAATGATTCATTTGCAAAGCCAGAAAATCATGACAGCTAGAACACTGAATAATAGAGTTGGAAGGGAACTTGGAGGTCTTCTAGTCCAACCCCCTACAAAAGCAGGAGACCCTATACCATTTCAGGCAAATGGTTGTTCAGTCTTTTTTTGAAAGCCTCCAGTGATGGCAAACTATTCTATTGGTTGATTGCTCTCACCATTAGGAAATTTCTCCTTAGTTCTAAGTTGCTTCTCTCCTTGGTTAGTTTCCATCCATTGCTTCTTGTCTTACCTTTTGGTGCTTTGGAAAATAGTTTGATTTTCTCATCTTTGAAGGAGCCCCTCAAATATTGGAACAGTATTATCTGGAAATATCTGTTAGGTATTGGAACAGTGCTATCATGTCCCACTAGTCCTTCTTTTCATTAGACTAGACATACCCAATGCCTGTAACCGTTCTTTGTATGTTTTAGCCTCCAGCCCCCTAATCATTTTAGTTGCTCATCTCTGAACTCTTTACAGAGTCTCAGCATCTTTTTTGTATCGTGGTGACCAGAACTAAATGCAGTATTCCAAGTGTAGTCTTACTAAGGCTTTGTAAAGCAGTACTAGAACTTCACATGATCTTGATTCTAAATCCTCTATTAATGCACCGTAGGACTGCATTGAATTTTTTGGCTGCTGCTTCACACTGTTGGTTCATATTTAAGTGATTGTCCAACAGAACTCCAAGAGCCCTCTCACAATTACTGGCATTAAACCAAGTTTCACCTAGTCTGTAGTAGTAGTTGTTGTAGTAGTTCACAAATACAACTACTAATCTCTTATTGTAGTGAATGCTTGTTTAAAATGACTTCCAGATCAGCATCTAAAGAGAGGAAATGATGGGATGAAGAAAATATAAATTGTCTTCACGATATACGATTCTTAACTGCTTGTCCCAATCATTTTAAATGGCCAAAATATATATTCAAACTGAGATAAATGTGGGCATCTATGATAATTATAGGCAACCATGATATTCATATTAAAAATGTTTATGAGCGGAAAAGTGGAAATTAAAAATAATGAGAGGGAAAATTAAAGGACAGAAACAATAAAGTGGGACATAAAATATGTTGGAAATCATAGGCTCTTAACTACTGCTAAGTAATATGAATTATATGGAGGGTGGAACACTTGGAATGGTAAGGAACCAGAATTCAGGTCCTTTGCATTCTGGCATGCTTGGAATTTCAGTTAGATTTTTCCATCACTTAACCTGAAATAAGCCAGAATGGACTCTAAATTATAATTGATATAATTGGAATGCTATAATAAAATAGCCACTCTAAGGGCTAATATACAGTATACGTTAAGTGATTCTGTTATTTTGCTTTTGGAAATCTGGGTTCTAGATGAACAACATATGGAAAAGACAGAGCAAAACATTCCAGGAGAATAATTGTTAGCATTTTACAAAGCAGTAATGCTTGACTACAGCTGTCTCGTATTTCTGAATTACTTTTCCCTTCTTTTTGTCTAGCTAGTCCTTGATTTACAATCACAATTGAGCCCAATTTTTTTGTGGATAATTGAGACATTTGTTAAGTGACTTTTGCTCCATTTTATGATATTTCTTGCCACAATTGTTAAGTGAATTGTTGCACTTGTTAAATTAGTAACATGGTTGTGAAGTGAATCTGGCTTCCCCATTGACTTTATTGTCAGAAAGTTCCAAGAAGGGATCACATGACCCCGGGACACTGCAGCTGTCATAAATATGAGTCAGTTGCCAAGCATCTCAATTTTGATCACATGACCATGGGGATATAGCAGTTGTAAGTGTGAAAAAGTCATGTCACTTTCTTCAGTGCCGCTGTAACTTTGAACAGGCACTAAATGAACTGTTGTAAGTCGAAGACTATCTGTATTCACCAAATGCACAAGCAAATGCTCTCAAACAATAACATGATAAATTTTGCTGCAGTATATGAGAATTTGTTTCTTGGTGCAAACAAGCAGGTATTGTAAATTACTTTCAACAAACAGTAACCTTTTACCCAGTTGTTTCTTTTCTCTGACTTAGGAACTACAACACATTTTCTTTCAGTTACAGAGTTTTGATTCAGGTTTATAAAGAGTAATAAACAGAATAAAAGAGATGAAAGGAAGATCCTGAATTGTTGTTCAAGCAGGAAATCATTCCCAGACTTCCATAGTTTGATTTCCATCCCCTGACAAGCGTAAGAAATTTCCATCAAAGCCTAAAAAGTATTTTTCTTTGTTTCCCAATTAAAGTCCAAATAAATAAATAGCCACTCCCAAACACCAATGCCAACACAACAGCATTTTTGCAAAAAATATAAATGAAACCCCACTTCTTTTCCAGGTTTTTATTGCCCCACAAATGATTTATATAATGTTTGTAAACAAGAAAACTATAACTTTTATGGACTTATTTGGAAGGCAAGGTTAATTTCCAATATGAAGGGATTAAATGAACCACAAAATTTTTATGGTCTTATTACTACAACCTTAAAATTATTATTTGGGTAATAAGCTGTATCCAAAAACCCTTACATGAATTTCAGTAATGCCATGTAGTTTTGGAATTGATACAGATTTAGTCTGATCTATTTTATTTTCCCTTTAATTTAGCAAATGCCCAATATAATTAACTGAATAAGCATAAGAAATCTATCTGGTTCAGCAGTTCTCAATAACAATAAGACATTCAGACATTGGATGGATTGATCCAACCTGATGAAGTAAAAATCTCCACTAAGCAATTTTAGCTACTGAACTTCTTGTTGAGGTTGGGGTAAGTGACCATATAAACTCAATAACAGAATAGGATTGGATTTATGACTGGATCAGCATGTCAGTCAGTCAGCAACTAATGTACACTTTTCTTGATAATACTTAGAAGGCTATTTGGACACATATTAGCTGAATTGTTTCTATCTCTTTAGTCCTTAGGAATCTGAAGAGAAAGAGTTAATGGAAATAAGGAGATTAGTACTGGATCCAACCAATCAGAGTCAGTCTTCAAGAGTTTATCAGAATTAAGTCTTCCGCTCTACCTCCAATAATTTTGCTGTTTGCTGTGCAGAAGTTGTTTGTGGATCTCAGAAGAGATCATACATGATCACTCTGAGGAGAACCTGAGTAACTCAGATGATCTCTGAGACCTCAGCACAAGCATCTAATTAGTCTACTTTATTTTTTGGACAGAAGAAAAGATAAAGAGTCAGTTCTTATTTTTTTTATTTTTTACATTTTGGGATGGTTAGGCTGGTTGTTCAGCTGAAACACTTGTTTCTAACTCTTAAAGAGGGATTCATAGAATTTTTGAAAAGATCATTAGGTCTTGAGAATAAAGTATTATGTACTTCTATTCATTTGGCTTTAGCTGGGACACATTCCCAATCAAACCAAATCCGTAGATTTTAACTTAAAGCTCATATTTGTTGTTGAGGCTTCTGGTGTCTTCTGAATCTTACTATTTATTGAAAAGTATGTATGTATGTATGTATGTATGTATGTATGTATGTATGATAAATGCACACACAACATTAAAATGTAGAGGTATCATATAGATAACAAAGGTGTATACTGTCAGGGCAGCTCTCTTTCCAATTGTAACATACAGTTGTGAAACCCAGACCGGCAGAAAGTCTGAGCCAAGAAAAAATGAATTTCCTTTCATTTATAATGCTGGAAATTATTTTGGAGACTACCTTGAACTGCAACAACAAATAATAGAAAATGAAATAAAACATCTTGAAGCACTCATAATGAAGCTAAGACAGTTTGGACACATAAGGCAAAGGCAACAGTAATTAGAGAAGACTCTGAAACTTGGCAGTCAAGGAAGAGGCTAATTTTACTGCTAATATCTTCAGTTGTTGTATCTTTGGACATGTGATTCTAAATCCCTGAACTGTGATTTAAAGTCATCAGTTATTTTAATAAGATAAATGCTTCTAAAGGACCTTGTATAACCTCCCTTTATTTTGGGGGGGATGCTCAGTTAACTTCCATATTCAGGGCTTGTTTCATATTCAAATCCTCCATACTTTCTGCAAACATACATGTAAATAAGAAAATTTTGTAACAAGGATGAAACTCTTAGGGAAACCAGTTTTCTTCTCTACTGCAGTTAACTGACTGATTGTTTTGCGGATCTGAAGGAGCAAACCCACATTTGCTACTATTGGCTTGGTGTTCCTTCACCACTACACACTGAAACAGCACGTACAGACAGATCATTTTAAAAACAGAAGAGTTCTCCTATTTTGGATACTTTATAAACCTATTTTTCTACCTCATTTAATTTGCACCAGGTTTATAAAAGATGCATTTCCATATACTTCTAAAAATTCCTATGCCTGGTGGCCAAACAGTACAAGTTGTAACCTCTATATTCTAACTACAAGTATTAGAACCATGGTCTGCTTCTCCCTCTATTTGGTAATGTCTTGAGGTATCATCACAAAGTATTGATATCTTCTCTGAATCCTACTGTGACATGACTCTAGGGTTGATTTAAAATACTTGGGTGGAACAGGAATTGGTGGCTGATAGTATTCCAACTGGCATTGCTTTTTGGGATAGTGTTCTCTATTTTGCTCCTGATAGCAATAGCAATAGCACTTAGATATATACCGCTTTACAGTGCTTTACAGCTCTCTAAGCAGTTTATAGAGTCAGCATATTGCCCCCAACAATCTGGGTCCTCATTTTATCAACCTCAGAAGGATGGAAGGCTGAGTCAACCTTAAGCCAGTGAGACTCGAACTGCCGAACTGCCGGCAGTCAGCAGAAGTAGCCTGCAATACTGCATTCTAACCACTGTGTTACTCATAATTTGCCTACAAGAAACATTTTACAAGTGAAAGGGAACCATAGACAAAAATCTTCGAGGTGGTGGTGGAGAGGAGCAGTTCCTGGATTTCTTTTAGAGAGCAACAAGGAAGAAAAGCACAAGGACTGAAGCAAGTTTTAAATTAACAAATATATTTGAATTCTTACTCATATTTCATACACAACTATCCATTCCAAAGTATTAAATTAGAAAAAAAAAAGATGGCTTTGTAGAAATTCTGCTTTCAGCAAGGAAAAGAAAAGGAATAGAAAGCGCACTTGGCTGTTTTTTTTGAAAAAGGCCAGTTTTAAACAGAGAAGCATGAAACAGCTTTCTATGCCATCTATTCTTCTCATGATAGTACAAGATTAAAGTGACCTGGAGCATCTGTAATTCAAAGTTTATTACATTACCATCATTATTGCTGATGAACTTTCCAAATGCTTCCCCCCTTTTGCACCCTCCTTGTGAATTTACAAATGTTTCACTCCTCATTACACTTAATTCTTGGCACAGAGAATCAGAAAAAGTCAGAAAGAAAGATAAACGGCCAGAAGGGAAAAACAAAGATTAGCTATTCTGGCATCAGACAAAGAAGAAATTAGAGTTAGAATTAATCCAAATGACATCATAAAGTTGCCATTTTTAAGTCTAAGAAAAGGGTCTTGCTGGACCACAACATGAAGGGCAAGTCTCCATTGTACACCAGCATCCGATTTATAGCTATTTAACTATCAAAGCATTTTTCAAAATTCGATGTTGTTTCATGAAATATGGAGACCTCTATTACTAATCCTTTCCATAGTTTCTCTCAAAGAACTATATTTCCCAAGATTGATGGGAAATTAGGAACAAGTATTATACACATATAGTATATCCTCACACTTTGTGATAAGAAGGTGCTAACTGCTTTCACTTCTCATGCTCTCATGTCCTAGGAAGTCTTTACATGCTAAATGATGAAAGAACATGGAAGAAGGCTTTTTAATTCCACAATTAAAATCAGCATTAGACTTTGATTCAGAATTGACCCAAGTAAATATGGATTGATTCTATTTTCAAAATGAAAGTAGGGTGAATTTCCAGACCTGATAGCATGGGTTATACCAAATTGTAATGTGAGATTACATATTTGATCATTTACATTTAAGAATTCTATGCAGATTAAAAAGCACCGCAGCAGGGAATGAACTACAGGTAGTCCTCGAGTTATAACAGTTCATTTAGTGACTATTCGAAGTTCACCAATACTGAAAAAAGTGACTCATGACCATTTTACAACCATTGCAACATCCCCATGGTCATGTGATCAGAATTCAGATGCTTTACAATTGATTTATGGTGGTTGCAGTGTCCCAGGGTCATGTGATCATGTTTTGTGACTTTCCAACAAGCAAAGTCAATGGGGAAGCCAGATTCACTTAACAACTGTGTTCCTGATTTAACAGTTGCGTTAATTCCCTTAACAACTGTGGCAAGAAAGGTAGTAAAACGGGGCAAGTAAATACTTAGTAACAGAAATTTTAGGCTCAATGTGGTTGTAAGTCAATTTCTTATTCCATATGGATTACAGGAACAGTAGAAATTTGATTGATTTTCAATCTAAAGAGGCATTATTTGTTTCATAACCACCAGGGGTGAAATCCAAAATTTTTCCCTACCAGTTCTGTGGGTGTGGCTTGGTGGGCGTGGCAGGGGAAGGATATTGCAAAATCTCCATTCCCACCCCACTCCAGGGGAAGGATACTGAAAAATCTCCATTCCCACCCCACTCTGGAGCCAACCAGAAGTGGTATTAGCCGGTTCTCCGAACTACTCAAAATTTCCGCTATCGGTTCTCCAGAACCTGTTAGAATCTGCTGGATTTCACCCCTGAAAACTATAGAAGACATTTCTGCTACATGGTTAGATCAAGCTCAGGGATGTAAAAAGTACCACCCAGTCAACAACCATTTTGTGGCTTTGACAGTTCTCCCTTCAAAGTGGGTAGATCAACATTTGAGGCATTCATTCATTCATTCATTCGTTCTACATTTGTAGGAATATTGAAGAGCTCTACACTACAATCTTTAATCTCTAAGGCCCTCCTGAATAGTAAAATGGATAAAGCTACCAATGACAGTTGACAACTTTAATCAAGTCAGTTTAAAAAAACCTCACCCTTTGGAAGTTACAACTGATGTCTCAAAAAAACTGTTAAGAAGCCTGCTAATCAAGTTTTGATTAAACACTTTTGAGTTGTGAACCTTGAGTCCAATCTGGTGAATATCACTGAGGGCTTGGAGTTGGTCATACTAAATGGGTGGTGACCCACCTCTCTGAAGCCCCTAGACTAATTGAATCCCTCACAGTGGAAAAGTCCCTCCTAGTGACTGCATCATTCCTGAACTGCTTAAATTGAACTATACATAACAAGTGTATCTTCTCTCTATGTGTGTATTGATTACAGGGTACATTGATTTCAAAGGGTACATTCTCAAAAATTGGGAACTGATGACAATAATCCCAATTTACAATTGAGTTGCAGTGAAAAGGACCCAGCAAATTAAAGATCCTTCTGAGTGTGATAAAGTACATTATATACAAAATACCTAAATAAAATCAAATCTGAAAGAGATGATTAGAGATTGGGAGGGGGGGGCACACAGTAGCACAAAGATTTTTCCCTAAATGTCCCTTTGGCATATGATAGAGAAAGAGAGAGACAGAAGGGGAGGGTGGGGAGAGAAACAGACAGACAGACAGAATATTTCTTACCTCACAAGAAATAATACAATGAATAGATTTTGGGTTAGGATACCATTCCAGTCTTCCAGTACACACAATACTCTGAAGAGACATAAAAAGGGTTTTGCATTAGTCAGAGGATAACAGCAAACAATCTATAATTTTTTTCAAAAAAATTATTGATGATATATATCTTATTTCACCAAAGATCTATTACATTCTATGCAATGCTAAAGACTTTGTGAGAATGGAATTACAAATTCTACACACAATCTCCTATATGGTAAAGAATTTTGATTCTAGATAATTTTAGGTTTTGCATCATCCTTTTTCTAAAAAATCTTGATTTGTAAACCTTATACAGTATTTGCAGGCTTATCTTTGAAAGATGTTAGTAAAAATATTTGAATTTTTAACCTACCAATCCCCACAAAACAAACAAGGAAAATAATATTGTTCTTAGCTAACCTCAAAACATGCCTATACTTTTTGATAAGTATTGTAGAAGCATTTACATTAATTTACATCACTGCTATAATATCAAGGTTACTCTATATATAATGGAAAATATGTAATGAAATTCTAAACCAAGCAGGTTAAATTCCTGAGACAAGAAAAAGAAGCATAGCTAAAACTAGTTTACACTAGTCACTATATCTTTCCATATTTTTCTATACTTAAAAAGCATCCTTGCTTTTTAAGCATCCTTGCTTTTACCATCTCCATTTACCTTTTTTATATATTGTCTTTTCTTCTTTGGAATTATCAATTCTCTGTTTTTGAGGATCTCATGAACTCTTTCCAACCACAACTTTTTCAGTCTTCCCCATCTCCACAATTTAATCCCTATTCATTTGCTCTATATGAACAATCCCTCTCAACATGCTTCCTTCAATCTGTATACCCTTCTGTATTTCATCCTCCTTCACTCAACACTAATTCATTCTTCACTATTATCTTTTCTTGTTTTGTCACATACATTTCTGAAGCACCCTGTACTCACTGTATTCAACTTATTTTAGGGTTCCCTTGAAATGACCCAGCTTGTTTCCATATAATGAAGTGAACAAAAGTAGGCTCACATACATAACTATTTTTGTTTCTTTGAATAAAGTATAAATACATTTAGATTGCTGCGTTTATAGTTGATGACTCCAGTTGGCAGATTTCAGTCTGCTTGAGCTCAATCAATCTAGCCCAGGTCCCTAATCCACTTCATTGTTCTTCTTACTTCACCCTGATCTGTATGGCAGATACCTCTTGGAGACAATGATTCAACAATGCCATTAAAGTTCACAGAACATCCACTCGACCATCAAGTCGAGGAAGAAAAGTGATTTGAAAATATACAGAAGGATCAAGAAATGAACAAAAAGAATTATGTTTAGTGACAGCTCCTGGCAATGGGGATAATTTAGTTTCACAATAACAAAACCTCCTCCCTATATTACTCTCTTTTCTGTTTCCCTATTCCCAGGAGAACACTTTTATGTAGCAAGGGGTTTTCAGCTGGAAGGGAAAACATTTCACAAAAAAACCAACAATAGGAGAAAATCAAATCAAGAGCATTCCACTTCAGAATTACAGACCTTAAAGGGCATAGATACCTTCTTTCCCTGTTTGAACATAAACGGCAGCACAATTACAGAGTTTATATAATATAACACACAACAGTGTCTAAAGGAATGAATCTTTGCTAATCCTGAAAATTCCCATGAGGAGAAAGATAATCTTGGGTGGTAATTCAGCTCCATAACAACTCAATTTGATTTTATTTTAAATGTTTTTAAATGCCAGCCATATTCTTCGATTTCATTTTCAGGCAAACTCAAGTTAGATGAAGCAACAGAATGATAACATCTGAGGTATTTTAGCCATTCCACTGAGAGGGATAAGAATACAACTAGAAAAAAGCTAAACATCAGAGTCAGAGATTCAGGATAACAAAACCAGGGTGTATCATGATAACTTAGAATGCAGACAGATAATCCACAGATGTTTCCAGACCATTTTTTCCTCTTTTTTTCCCCTCTGTACCTATGCATTTCTTCTTCCCAGAAAGAGCTGGAAAGAATGCCAGGCAAATACTCAACCAGACTACCTTCCCAAGCATCAACCAAGCATGAAAAGTGTTTGATATGTCTACATTCCTTATTTAAAAATCATGATTAAGTTCTTAAAACTATATTCCAATTGTTTCCAGCCATTAATACTTTATTGTTGCCTTTTCCCACTGCTAGTCTTGTTGGATACGTGTTCCATATTAACCATCATGGGTTATAAAAAGCAATGGTTTCAAAGAACTATATTGCCAGAAAAGTTAGCATTCTATTTACTACACTTATTTATCACATTTAGAAACTGCCGAACTCCCTCACAGGGGAGGCTGTAACATTTTGACTTCCCCATGACGACATTGTCACATTCAGATTCTGTTACAAAATTCTGTCACTAGAGTTGTTACAACAGAGGTCCTGATCTATATGGCATAGGTCTTAGTTTGTTGACATGCCATTACTCTTGCAAGTCAAAAACAAAATAACAGGATATTTATTTTATTTATTTATTAAATTTGTTTGCTGCCCATATGACCATGAGGTGACAACAACGTTACTGGTTGTTACTTATACTTTATGGCCAAATCTACCCTCTGCAGCTACAGCTATGTCATTTTCAAACACAAGGCCTAAATTGGACTTCTTAAAAAGGGAAACAATAATTTACATTCTCCCTAGATAAAAATTTCCAGTTTTTTTAGTTTGGATTAGTTTGGATTAGAAACTGGATTAGTTTTCCAGTTCACATTGATTGTGATAATGAAATCTCCTTTTCAAAAATATTCAAATGTTAGAACCCAAAAAAAGGAGAGTAGTGAGAAGAAATATATTAAACTTCTAAGTAAGGATGGCTTGCCCCTTTAATTAGAAATCCAAGCTGCAGCCAGAGGAAGGAGGAAGATAAGTTTTGCACATCGTAACTCTTTAAACTCTTTTCAAAATCAACTTCCATTTCTGTGTGGTTTTTTTGCTCCTAGTCATACTTTTTTTTTTTTTTTTAATTTGATTTATATGCCGCCCTTCTCCGGAGACTCAGGGCAGCTTACAATGCGCTAAGCAATACTTGCTCATCACGCTCATAGCTTTCCTACTGAAACTGGACTATAAGATGGAAAGGTACATCAGATCACTGAAGAAACTGTAACCTTAGGTCAGCAATTTCCACAGTTCTAGGTGAGTAGACTAAAAGCTAATATATTCCACTTTCAAAGTTGCAGCACTTCCCCTTCTTTTTACCTGGACTTTAATAGGATTCAGTCTGTGGTCCATGGTATCAGCAGTGACATTTTCAGGCAATGTCACAGGATCTCTAGGTAGAAACAAACAGGAAGGTGTGCATGAAGCTCCTGGCACAGAAAAAGAAGAGAGAAAGAAAGAGAAGTAGCAGATTATAATTTCCATTGAGAAATGTGTAAATGCCATGGGCTTCCATAAGGATTTGCGTGATCTCCAATTTGAGTACATAAGTACTATATTACTGCTCTGGTACTTACAAAACTTCATTCATCAACAATTGTTTGAATCTTTTATTTAGAAAAAGCAAGAAGAAGAGAGAGAAAGTCTAGATTGTTTGGTTGGGATTTATGTATATTCCAAGATTTAGGATGCTATTTTCCCCCCTCTACACATCTCTCCACAGCAGTTATAACTGTAACTAAAGTTGTCCCCTGCCACATTGCTCCCTGTTTTGTTTTTTTTTGTTTGTTTGTTTTGTTTTGTTTTTGCCTCCTACAATTTTTACATTTGACAATCTGGAAGAAGTAAATGTCTAAGCAAAAAAAATATACAAAATGTGCTGCATTGCAAAAGTTGCACATGCACAATATTATCTCCTCACCACCACCACCCATCCTATATAATTCTGTGTGTGAACATGCTCTGTTCTTTGGAAACCCCAAATAATTTTGGCTCCAGAAGCCCCAAAAGACTTTATAAGCCTTTGGAAGCCCCCAGTGAACAGGCAGCATACTTTGGAAGTCAAAATGGAAGAGTATTGTTTGAAATACTGATAAAGCAGCAAATTACCTCTGTGACTTTTGTTTTTGAAGGGGTTTAAAGAATACTTTTAAAAAATCAGGGAAGATTTATAAGATTGGCATGTTGGACTGAGATTAAAAGAAAAAATAGTTACATGTTGCCATTTCTGGACTTTTGCTGACAAAATTCTGGTGGACGTAGCATTTTGATTTTACCTCAGTTACGAGATGAGCTATGAGGAGAAGAGAGTTTGCTTTATTCTTTTTTTTTTTGTAGAGACAGTGATAAGCTGTTAAAATTGTTTTTACTGGCTGTGAAGTTAATTTTTTTTCTTTCTGCTTTTTTACTACCTTGCTCCCCCCCTCGCCCTTTTTGCAGTTTTCTGCTTGTAGTTTTGGTAGTTTTTATTGACTTCTACCCTTTTCACGTATAACGCTTAATAAAAATTATTTGGCAAAATGAAGATTAATCTATGTACTCAGAGGACCTTCATTTCTTTGGGATGTAAGTGGTCAAGATCAAGACTCTCTGGGTGCAAAGGACCTGGTTCCTCTAACTGTAACTTCAGCATGAAAGGCTGCAAAGCAAACATGGGAGATCATGGCCCAGAAACAAAAAGCTGATCTTATTTCGATGAGAACAGATAGGAAATAAAAGATTTCTATCTGTTATTGTTCCATCTGTGATTATTGTAGCACTGTCGATGTTACCTAGTTTGAGTAATGAAAGTTTTGCAAGAAAGCAAGCAAACTCAGAGAGCACCAAGGACCCTTCAATTAAAACTGTGCAATGACAGTATGTTCAATTAAAAGGTTTTTTTTATTTCACGGTTTGATCCAGATACATTAGCTTCATGTACAACTCCTGATTTATTATCAATATGGAGAAGCATTTTAGAGTATTCAAATTCTACAATATTTTTAACAGGCAACCAAGAGTATTGGATATATATCAGTTATATGCAAAGAATAAAATTAGCCTACATTAAAAATCCATGGTTAATGGTCTTAAAGACTATTAAATATCACAGAGTATAGGTTTCAAAGCTATTTATTGCAGCTATTCATTCTTTGTCAACTTCAATTTCAGCTGTTTGAAAAATCTAGAAGCATGGCTAGAAAAATATCAACACATAATCATTAGATGGCATTACCCAGAAGTCAGTTAATCAATGTTAAGTTCATTATGATCTTAAGATAATATTAACTCAACAGAAGTTTCTTTACATGCTTACAGCATACTCTAGATATGAAAAAGGATTGGCTATTGATTTTATTATCTTGGTTACTCTTTTTTTTCTGATTCCATTAACTATATCTTTATTGACATAATGGCAAAACTGATCAATATTCTATTGGATCAAGACTTAATGATAAAAACAGAATTTCCTTCTAATTTTTCCTCCTTAGTTTTTATTTTTCTTTCTTCTTTTTGTAAACTAAATAGAGATTCATCGTTTTTTATGCTTGATATAGTGTTCTTTCCCAAAGTCACTTTCTGATAACTTAACAAATCACAGCAAGCTTCTCAGCTCTATTAATCTTTCCAGCCTTTATGAATAATGAATTCTTCTTTTATATCTAAGACGCTTCTGCATGTACTAATCTCCTGGAAAAGCCTCTTCAGGGATAGGAAGATGTTTTTTCATCAGCTTAATCTCAGTGAAGGAAAATTCAGAGGTTTAATGCTATTTGATTTAAGAATACAGTTTACAGTTGGGAGACATGAGTAAGGATTAGGCTGTGTATCCCTTTGCATATTATTTCATTTTTCCTTTTGAGAATTACACCAATTCTTTTTCTATCAACACCACCTTCCATTCTTTCTGGCTTCCAGGGTAAATATTTAATATGAATCAAAGAGAGAAATATGTTTTTGTTGTTTGTCTTTGGGACCTACTTGTGAATACCTGAATGTTACACTGGAAAAAGAAAAATCATAAATACTTTTCTTGTTTCTATTAGGATTGCTCTGCTCTGTTTGTGTTAAAGCCTCACTCATATTAAACATTCATGTTTTGCAAATATAAATGTCTAAGCAGAATATATGATTTTAAAACAGCAATAGAAAGCTCAAATAGAAAGAAAATTGAGATATGCTACAAATATTTATTTAATTTATCTCACAGTGACATAAAATATAAACAGTATATACCTTTAATTTTAAAAAAATTAAAAAATGAAGCCTTAAATCTAGCCTGTTCCACAGATCTGCAAACAACTTAATAGGAGAGTTTAGGTGAATGGGATGATCAGAAACTGTTTACCTTACCAATTCCATAACCTTGCTGACACTTGTATTCCACTGAATTAAGCTCCTGTGGGGGTGCACAATCTCCCTGCAGTTCTTCACATAATTTAAATTCCTCTGTCCACAAGCCATTTTTAGTGCAAAGAATGGAAAGCTGAAACATAAAAGAACCATATTAATTCATGAACTGTACAGAATTTAAAGTACCTCTTTGTTACCATATTCATTATAGTCAATGTCACCCATATAGTCCATACAGGCTACATTAATGGTTATAACTTCGATGGAATCCTGTGATTCCCACTGATCTCAAGCCAATTGCAAAAAAGTTGGTTCCTTTCTTCTGCTCACAAAAAAACAGTATCCAGAGTACATTTAAGTAATTTTGTGATCTCTCCTTTTTCACGAGAGAGTTTGGCAGTCTGGACCAGTGTTCAGATGCTGATTTCAGCCATAATGTTGTCCCTCCGTTTAGGGAGATCAGTGCACCATGGTGTTTACTGGAAGTCCCTCAAATATTGAATGTAAGATTTTTGAAAAAGTGTTAGGTATTCTTCAGTCTTCCAACACACATACTGATGTAATCCATGGAGATTTAACATTTACTATGAATTCAAAATCAAGAAAAATAAATGTAGGCAGTCTTTTGTTTAGTGATCACAAATTGGAACTGGCTCCATCACTAAGTGAAATGGTTACTAAGTGGAAAACCATGTGACTGCAACTTTTGTCCCCTCCCCCACTCTTTGCAATAATTAGCAAGAAGGGAATTAATGTGTTTACATTCATTATAGAAGAAAAGATTACAAGAGATTAAGCAGGCACACAATGGGGTATATACATCAAAAGTAATGCACTGGCACTGGCAGCCATAAATATACTTGGCAGATAGTTCAGTGTAGTCTCCACTGTATGCCTGCATGCTTTCTTGTAATCCCTTCCTCTACAATCTTTCCACTTTGGGAAGGCGGGGAGAAAAAAACCTCAAGTGATCTTTGTAGGCAATCTTTCCTGTGTCTGAACTGTTTGGGATTTTTGCATACACACACATACACACACCCGATAGAGTAGTGCGATTGGAGGGGTTACAGAACAAGTAGCAATAGCAATAGCAGTAGCAATAGCACTTAGACTTATATACTGCTTCACAGTGCTTTACAGCCCTTTCTAAGTGGTTTACAGAGTCAGCCTATTGCCCCCAACAATCTGGGTCCTCATTTTACCCACCTCGGAAGGATGGAAGGCTGAGTCAACCTTGAGCCTGGTGAGATTTGAACTGCCAAATTGCAGGCAGCCGGCAGGCAGCAGAAGTAGCCTGCAGTACTGCACTCCACCATAGGCACACAATGGGGAATATACTGGGCTGTCTGAATAGCACATTTGCAGATCCCAGCCCCAAGGTCACCTTTTGATGTGTATTCTCCATTATGTGCCTGTTTACTTATGTGCTTGTGATTCCTTCCTTCCTTTCAATCTCTCTGATCTATAAGTGGGGTGGGACAAAGAAAAAGTGCCAGGCCCAGGTCAATGTCATAAATTTGAATGGCAGTCAATAAGCAAGCACTACTGGTATTTTAGATTCATTAATGAGTAATACAATGGCATGATTTTTTTATAAGGAATTCATGGAAAGAGCAGGAAATTCTGCTGGACATGCCCAGTTGCTCATTCTCTTTTTATTGCGCAATAAAACCAAATTCAAGAAATGCCAGCAAGTAGAGCAAAATATGGCAATCAACATTTGATAAAACTGAAGCTGGGGCTGCCATATGGGTCAAGATTCAGCCTCAAACCCAATGGAAACCTGGCCTATTTGCGAACTGACCATAAAGTTGTCTTTACCGTCTTACTCTGTGGACCACAGCTAAGAATACACTGACTGTCAAGCTCAAAGCCATTGGTGCAGTTGTACATTCCTTCAAAGACTGGTGGGGGTGGTTTACAAACCACAGGAACGCAGCTCCCATCCTCCCAGAAGCCAGTTTCAAGGCAGTGGATATTCAAAAATGTTCTGGGGATTTAAGAACAAAAGAGGAAGTAGTTATGCAATTGCAATTCTGTATCAAAGCAGCTCCCAAAATTAAGACAATCACAGTATTTTGTGATGACTTTTGGGATTCATATTCTAGTCTTATGTTGATCAAATACCATAAATTACCCTGTTGAGTCCACCTTCTCCTCCCCTTTTCTATCTATATAGATTTCTTCAGTCAGGTAGACAAAAATATTTTAGAATCTGCATCTTGGGCCCCTCGTTAATAATTTTTTTCCTATGGTTTCTCTGCTTTTTCCAGCTCTGTTAAGAAATCACACAGACTCCAAGGATGTGTTCTGAACATGGCTGTTTACTTCTCGAAGACACTGCTGTACTGCCACACCATAACCATCCAAACAGCCTATTTATTTAGCACATTTTTTATTCCACACTTCATTTGCAAAGCACAGGTCTCTTCTGATAACTAAGGTTACTTTTCCACATTTGTAAGAATAAGCTCTCCAAGTAAACAGCAACTGGAGGATTCGGAACATGACTTTGCATTGCAGCCCTAGCTATATTTTGATGAAAATAGAAATCAGCATGTTTATCAAACTCCATAGATGCACAGCACACATTTTTAGACATTTTGATATACGTAATAGCATGTTATCATAAAGTACATGGGAGTGGCAGGAATAAGGTTAAGAACTTCTCTTGAAAAATGAACTTTATTAATAAAATAAATAAAAGTTTATTTGCAAGGTGACTTAAGTGTTTGCCAAAAAAATAAAAGAAAGGAGGAAATGGATATACTAGAGATAGTTGCATGCTGGTCCTTCAGCATTCTGCAAAAAGATGAAAAAAGAAACATGGGAAATTAGAAAGCGAAGTGAGAAAAGAAATAAAAAAGGGTAATGGAATGTGAGCAAGATACCACAATTGTCTACTTCCTTGTGATTCATCTGAAAACATACCACAGAGAGGGGAAACAAGGATATTTAGCATGTGAAAGCATCTAAATAGCAACATAATGGAAGCACAAATTTGTGCTGGCAAAGATTTACCAGGCAGGGAGCACTGGAAGACTTGAGTACCCAAACTGAGCATTCCAAGACTCAGTCAGACTCTGTGTCAGCCAGTAGGGCTATTGTCCTAAAATCACACTGAGTTCAGGGCTCCATGATCTGTTTATGTGCTAAACAAAAAAAATAATAATAACATTGAAAAGCCCTTCAAAACCAGAAACTTGGGTGAAAAACAAACTGTCTACTTTCTCTGAATAATAGGGAAACATGTACCCCCCCCCCCCCAAAAAAAAAACCTTATTGCAAGGTCATACAAGACTTCTGTGCTCTTGGTAACAAAAATAATACACAAAATTAAGATGTCAATTATAATAGGATGTGAGAAAAAAAAATGGTTTTAGCTCTACAAAGAGTTTTCAGGCTGGCATAAAAGAAGAGAACCTGAAGCATAAACATTGTGCAAGTCTCCGGAGCTTATGTAAAATTTGATGCCATAATGTAATGTTTAATGTAACTGAAAAGGGACATCAAGTACATAGAAACATTAAAATTAAATAAGTTTTAATTCAGTCCAGCTATTTTTGGGACTGAAAACTCTTAGTATGTCACTCAGAAGCACAAAACAATGTATCAGAAAAATGCTAATCTTTCATTGGCACTTTGGAAATTAGCAAACCGACCATGTCTTGTTAACTTTAATTTTATTTTCTAACAGCACATTTTGATGCATAGTTATTTTAAACAGCAGTAACCTTGTATTGTGCTAAAGAATTTTACTTATCAAACTTACAACATCTGATCTACATGATTTCTCTGAATACTTTTGGAAAATGTGGATTGATTTTATTTTAAGCCAAGAATATACGGTGATTCCAACACAGAAGTACCACACCTTAAACACTGCAATATTTGCAGAATATGTTGGCATAATCAGATGTAATAATCATGCTTACCAAATCAAAATAAATTATTTTGAAATGATACATATAATTTAGAAAACAAAACTATACACACCTGAGCATCAATTTTTTGATTTGGATCAAAGCACATTTTTAGGGGGAGGAATATCAGCCTTTGAATTGTACAGATGCATGATTATTTACCCAGGAGCACAGCCTGTTGTGCCCCAATGTTCCCTATAATGCAAAAGAATGTTTGCTTGCCCCGCTTCAGCCTCAGGCTTCTCCAGGCTCTCATAATCTCTCCCACAAGGAAACAATTCCACTTTGCAACTTCCCTAACAAGGCCCCCTTCTCTGATTCATATTCAAATCCATTTGGAAACATACAGCCTGTTCCTGTGCCCCTTTCTCTTCATCATCCTGAAACTATACAGTTTTGGCTTGGCACAGAGGTTTCTGTGAAGTTACTCTCTCCAGCTCTTTGTCATTTTTGTGGCTTTTCTCTGAATTCTGTCCAGCATGTTAATATCTATCTGGTAAAGAAAAGAGGTTCTGTTGCCAGAAAATAAAAATAAAAAATACAGGAACAACAACTTGTGCTGCTGAAACAATATTGCTTTACTTTATACTAAGAAAAGGGGTGGGAAAGCTGTCCGTTCACTCTCTTAGTCTTGTCAAAGTCTTATATAATGTATTACTAAGGAGGACAGCCCAGAAGCACTCTGACCTGGTGAAGGCCTGGCTATGAAGCCCACAAAGATGATGATAAGCAGCAGCTCTTTGGTGGATGTAATTAAAGCCATCTGCTCAGTGACTATATAACCATCTTCAAATAATTCCTTGAACTATGGTTTTTGAAGAGCAATAAGCAACAGTTTCTATTATTATAAAGCTAACTCTAGTATTAATAAACATGGTAGTTATTAACCATAAAATGTAAAAAGTAGGTATTGCAAGAGAAACCTACTTTTGCTTTTATTGTCTTTTAATAATTTACACTATTAAAATAATTGATCCCTTCCTAATCCAGGCTCCACAATTTATGAACTCCCAGGACAGCTCTGCATTGAGCTCTCCAGCTTTGAATTGTCACCTGGCAGGTTCTAGAGTCCTTCTCTGGATAGAAAGCAGGAAATTCCAGGATTCTTGAAGCTGATAAAAGCAAATAGCAAATGTCTTTTGCTCTAATTGTTAATCTCATATTTTAAAATTAAAATCTATGCAATCTATGAAACTGCAAGTGTCCTTTCATGTGCTACATAATTTGTTGTATTTTTTTTTTAAATAAAACCTTGAAACTACAGATTTATCATTGCCTCGCTTTGGTATAAATAAGAATAGGAAATTAAAATAGAAAATAGAAACAAATAAGTACATAAAATAATTCCTGGCACAATTTGCCTGCTCCATTGCTTGCTGCTGACTTAGCCCTTAAATTTCAGATATCCCTTCATTCTGTTTACAGATTTAGAGCTTGGTATAGGAGGGGGTCCTATACCATGTGGGGTATGTAGGGTCTATTATGGATATAAAAATAAACCAGAATTATTGAGCATACCAACATCACCCTTTTCACTATTACCCAAGAGAAATACCGGTAAACTAACTAGAAACTAACCAGAAACCAAAAATTCCTGGTTTGTCCCACTCCTTACAACCCAAAACAAAAAAACATAATCTGTTTTTGGATTCTAGTTAGTTTATTGGATGTCAGTTAATTTAACTACTTCTCCTAATAAAAGAACTAAACAATAGATCCAGAACCTCTCTAGGAGTCTCTAGGAGCCTCTCTAGGAGTCTCTGGAGGCTGGGGACAGGAAAAAAGTCACTTCCTGTCCCACTGGGAGTCGGGAAATGGGCCTTTTCAGCCTCCGTAGGGCCTCCAAGGGAGTGGGAAAGGCTGTTTTCGCCCTTCCCAGATACACAGAGAGGATCTGGAGCCAGGTAAGAAAGAAAAACGGGCCTTCCCCACCCCGCCCCCAGGCCTTCCAGAGGCAGGAAACAGCCTGTTTCCCTACTTCTGGTGGGCCCAGAAGGCCCGAAAATCAGCTGGCTGGCACGTACATGCGCCCCAGAGCTGAGCTGGCATGCCCACTGATATGGCTCCGTGTGCCACCTTGGCACGCGTGCCATAGGTTTGCCATCACGGGCTTAGAAGGTTTTTACAAATTAATAAAGAATAAATCTATCAACAATTATTACCAACTCTCTATTCCTTAGGCTGGGGATACCAAAAGTGCCAAGACATAAAATACACAAGAAAGCAAATGCTTTGCTAAACTTCTGAAGGGTATAGGATGCTGCATTCATTTTACTCTGGCAGTCCAGATTTTAAAATTCTTTACTATGTTCGCAGCACCAAATACTAGCTGAGAAGAAATAATTTTATACTGCACTGTGAAAATTCCAAAATATATTATTGGCCACTTAGTTGAATCTCAAGTAAAAGCATGCAAGAGGGAGACATGGAGTTACTAAAAAAAAAACAAAAAAACCCCCAAATTCTTTGCACCTGTGCACTGGTTTCTTTTGTTTCGTCTGTATGCAGCAAACATACAGCACTATGGGGTAAATGATTTCTGTGCCCTTACATCTTAGACAGTAAACATTTCACAATGGGAGTAGAACAGAAGGCAGAGAAATTCAGCAGGTAGGACTGGAGAAGTTTTAAAAGTTCCATTAAGAAGTATGAAAACTAGAAAGAAACTCATTTGAAACATTTTTTCTGGAGATGCAGATGTCACCACTAGTTGACCCTGTAGTTCTTTCCTAGTGCTGTTTCCATAACGATGAAACATCAAAGAAAATAAATGGACACTGATATATGTGAGACCTTAAAATACATATTTCACTCATTATGAGAATAGCAACTAACACGCCATCAGTAGAAATGCATGAATTCATTTCCAATCTAGGATATTTTTGCTTGAGTTCACTTTTTTTTTTTTTTAGAATGAATTTACTCCACTTGATTCCAGAGGACAGAGGTCAATTCTATTCCCAAATTCAACTGCCAAGAGTTTTTTAAAAAATAAATTGATATGGATTTCTGAGCCAAGCACTGAGCAGCAACGCTTGAAGAGCAGAATCAGAAAGAAAGCGACATT